ATTTAGAAGTTTATAGATTGAAATGAATTCCGAACTGAGATACATATACACACGTATATTACTTTTTTAAGCTTGCCGGAAATTAGACTATGCCATGTATTTACAAATTACGAGCTTCTGGCGAAAATGAAAAGCACAGCGACAATTCAATGGCTAATTAAAATCTGTGCGCGAGCGGCTACGAGGTAAATGTAGCATATACATACATATTTGCACATAAAAACCGAAGCGAAAAAGCTGAGAGTCATAGTGCTCGTGCCCACCAAACTCTGGCTTTACATAATGACACGCGTATCTGGAAAAATAAAAGGGAGAGAGGGAAGATTACAGATCCGCTCATATTTCGAGTGATGAAAATGAAATTCAGCTGAATACTCAATTAAAGTTGGGCCAGCAGCAAAGTTCTATTTGGACGCTGGAGTGCCACGACTACATAATGAAAATGCAAACGATGGAGAAACATTAAAATTCGAGCTTGCACACTGTTTCGCCCTGGCGCTCATCTGGGGGATTCGAAAGTACGTCCAGCGCGTTTGTTAGCTCGCACAATCTACACGCGCGCGCACAAATACACACACGCGCGCGTGTAGTATAGATATGTCTGTGCACATACGCATATTTACAGAGGCGGAGTCGCGCGATTAAGCCGCAATTAGCGGCCCCGTAAAATATATACTCTGGTAGCGCGCGCGAAGCGAGGCTTTGGCGAGCAGCGAATAAAAATGTATGCTAACCACCTGAGCCCTACTACTGGTCTTAATCGATAATTACAATTGCGTGCCCGTGACTGCGCCCAACTCGCACGCAATAACTGCAGCTTTTGTCAACAGCGTGATTTCTGTGTATATACGCTTCGCCGCACTCTACTTCTACATTTAGGATGCATGACGTTGTCCATCGTCGCGCTCCTTCGCTGGCTTTCGAACAAATCTCATCAACTCATCTTGCCAGCATCCCACGTATCATTTACTTTTCAATCAAATAAATATACGGCGCCGATAATCTACACTATCAATAAGTTGTTATATAGCTTCTCTGAGCGTACATCGATCTTTTTATATGCTTGTGTTTGTACCACCGCAAGTGTCTATTAGACAGCGAACATCTATCTCCAATAATAAAACACGCACTGTCATTTGGATTCTATACTTGTAGCAGTAATAAAAGCCAGTCAAATAAAACGAATAGAGTTGTCGTGTCGAGCGTCAACTGAAACTTGAAATACGAAATGAAAGGAACATAGCTTACCGTTTCGTGTAATGGCGAGTTAATGTTACTTAACGAAAGAACACTGGCTATGATAAATGAAGGACAAAACATATAGCCCCCGGAATAATTTATGATGACTTCAACAGGTGACAGGGTGGCTCGCAGATATCTGCGTGCTTTTAACGTGATATGATACGATAGCGCTATAGCATATCGCGTCTACAGAGTATGTTCCTTGAGGATATCGCTGGACGAGGGCCAGTGCGCGCACAGCGCACAGACCGACAGACCGAATGCAGATTCGTCGCGCAAAGACGGAACCTCGAAGTGCAGGCGCTTGCAGGTGCCAGCCATCGCCTCTCACCTATCTCGCTAAATATTGAGCGGGTAGATGCGATGCATAAGTCTCGGCTTACCGTCGACTAGTTTAGACCACTCGTGCGACAGCGACTAGCAGTGTACGCTAAATGCGACCGGCAGTGATACGACTGACCAAGTTGTACAGCTTTTGGACAATAATTATTAATGAACGATCGTTATCGTGTCGTTTGCTCGCGGAAGTGGGACACCACGCTCGTTACGTGGCAGCTGTTCTACGAACTGTTCGTCGCGCGCTCTCGTGACGATGCGGACGGCAAGTTAGACGAAAGACACGGGCGTTCGAGGCAAAAAACAAGCAGCCTCAAAAACGAAACGGAGCTCTGCGGCGAGCACAACGATCGTTCGCAGGAGGACCCTCCAATCTCCAATTCACGTGGCATATCGAAATGAAACTAGTGCGCTGTCCCGGAACATATCGGCATCAATCGCGTTGAATCCGTAGGCCAGCTATATACACGCTACAACGTGCGCGCAGAGATTTGGAAAGACGTCAGCGAGGAACGTTTATTCTGCGCGTCTTTCCCGGATTATCCGCAGCTGGAGGAGCCTTCAGACTAGAGTCTTCGCTACGCGCGCGCGAGTCTTTCATTCTAATTCACCTTCGTGGCGCTTAATCCGTCTTTGTTGATTCTCGGCCCGGCGCTTCTCGACTGCTTCTCTCTCTGTCTGTCTGTCTCTCTCTCTCTCTCTCTCTCTCTCTCTCTCTCTCTCTCGCGCGCGCGCGCGCGCCTCGTATAAAGCTCACGCAGCTTGCGTCGCCGACAACTGAGGGCAAATCAAATTGACGCTCCCAAGGAAAATGGAGCGTCGACTGATTTCCATCCGGCTGAATTTACATTTGTCCTCTGGGGAGAGGAAAATTTTTGGCTCGCGCCAAATCGATTGTTGCTCAGTGCTTATCAGACTCGGGATCGAAGGACTGCTCAATTCGTTGCGAAATAATCATTATACGGAAAGGAATTGATTGTTCTATAAAAAGCCGTACTTCGGCTGAATTGGCCAATGTCTGATTGTGGCAGGGCTGCACGCAGCGAGCTTATCTGTGGCCTCGGAAGCCAATTATTGTCAAATAAATGTATACATAGGAGCGGATGAGGAGCGCGCTGGTAAACAGCATAGTATATCAAATTTTGCGAGGCAAGTGCAGCTCGCAGGCTCCGATAATTTGGTCTTTAAAATGCACTTGGCTCGACTGCCCACACGTGACGTTTACGCAGACGACCCGTCTCTCTATCTTTCTCTCTCTCTCTCTCTCTCTCTTGCGCGCGCGCGAGCTCTAAACACTCGCGCAAAAATTCCGACGCAACGGCAACGCCTCCAGCCGCCACAATTGGACCCTGCACCCTCGTGAATTATTAGCAATGAAATTCGCGTTCGCTCGGCTGCTACCCGTACCAGAGACAAAGAAATTTAGTGCCCGAACGAGAGAGAACACGTATGTGCACGCGCGCAAATCGAAGTGTAGGATGATAGGTACATATATCCGTGCCCCCACTAAGTTTCTGGGAGCGAGCGAACTGTAAGGGATTCCAAGCATGCCGCGTGTATGCCGAATATTTTGCTGTTATTAGAGCGCGCTTACGCCTTCCTTGAGATACGGACAGTTCGCGCATGTGAATCCGCGCTTTCGTCGCTTGCGCTGCGGAAGCAATTTCGAAATTGAGCTATTTGCCGAACAAAATCATCTGCTGTTACTGTTAAAACGTGCGGTTCAATCGTCGCTCTATTACTTGCTGTTGTATTGCTTTGGTCACGCTGGGTCTTTGCACCTTGCATTTTCACTTTTCACATCACGATACGTTCATTAGATCGATTTATTTGGCGCTCGCTGCTCCGCGTATTTCTCTTCGTTCGTTTGTTTTAACTCCATTTTATATACAAAGTCAGTAGCTTAGAATTAATTTATTTTTTTGTAAAAAATGAATAGATGAAACTCTGTAATCGTTGCTTATGAAAAAACTAATCAATTATGTTTTCTAACTTTTACATTTTTTCTGTTGAAACTCCACATCATCAAGAAATTGTTCGCAGACCTAAATAAATTTATTTTGATTTCAAAAAGTAACTCGTGGTAATTATACGAAGGCAATTTCGAATACTAGCCAAAGTCTTTGCCTCTCTTGGAAAGCTAATTTTCAGTTTCCTTTGAGCACCATTTTAAAATACCGTCGGCTTCCTCTGACGTTTCGCAAGAGCAGATGCAATCCTACAGAGAGACGACCAAAAGTTCGTTTCTGCCAGAAGCAACCATGTCAAGTTAACTTGAACTTTCTCATCTTCTTTCAACCAAATTATATCTCTTTCTTTTTTTGCTAATTACAACTCCAGATTAGACACGAACTTTTATTTTTTTTTATCGAGTCACATACGTCGATCTGAAAATTGTCTAAAAATAAATTTATAATTGTATTCCATAAGCACTAAAAGAATTAACTGTTGACAGGAGAATCGATACCGTCTGTTACAATGATAAAGTATGAACTATGAAAAAAGCACAAAAATTAAAACATCGAATAACAAAACGAAACGGAGTTTCAAAAAAAAAGGAAGCACGTAGATATTTGACGTCAGTTGAGTTATGAGTTTCGATAGAGCATAAAACACTTTATACGATGAAATAAATCAGCGAAGTTGCCGCGGCGGCGTCGAAACAAAACCGATCCAGGCTGCAACAAAAAAAAGTTTTGAGCAAACGCATCCTCTCGGGCAAACGACAACGAGCGACCGAGCAACGCTCGCTTGCGAGCTGCAATAGCCAAGAGGAGACGTGTAAAATGTTTCATTCCTGCTCAGCTCGCTTCGCAGCTTATAGTTGCGGGGGAGGACAGACGCCCCGGTACGCACTCTGCATTCCTTGCGCGACGACAGTAAAATCCGCGTTCACGAGAAATAAAAATTCATCTCTCTTTCTCTACCTCGTGTGCGCCACTACTCACGCCCACACCCTGCATACACGCTAGTAGGCTCGGACTATCGTAAACATCATAAGCATAACACCGCGGACGGAGCCTTCTCTCTTCTCGACTCACAGACCAAAAGCTTTAAACCACTCCCGCAAGCGTTGTTTACCTGAAAATGTGTCATTTCTTCTGCCGAGCTTTTTTTCTCTAACAACTATTATTTTCAATTGTCGACGCATTCTAACGGTACATATAATTGTAGAGTTCATATGCAAATTTAAAATCTCCCATGGAAGCACGACGATGGTCATGACTTTGCAACCTTGAGACTATGTCACTAAAAACTAAATGATTCATCAGAGACGAGAGCTACTGAGGATGAATCAATAAATAATCTGTTAGAAATAGATAAAAAATTATGTCAATGAACGCGAAGCAGATCAGTCAGAAATTCCTAACGAAACATTGCTGAAAAATAAGGAATACATTTATTTACTGGCTTGGTTTTTTCTCATTGATCAACAAATTTTTTAATTTATTAAAAATGGAGGAAAACATACATATCTCAAACAAAATCTGTTATTTTTTAACGTAACGAGTCAATACTTTACATATTCCTCAAATATTTATGTATTATTGTTCACAAAAGCCAGTTTTCCTTTTTTAATTTTAATAGAAATTTACGACAAAAATTTTTAAAAGTCACTGTAAAAAAGTTTATATATCTTCAGGTTGAACTTCTAGCTGTAATACTACTCCACTCCTTATCAATGTAATAAGAATAGAGCCAGCTTTTTCTAAAATTTTATAAATATCAGTAGATGATCTTATAGGTTCACCATTGACGTGTGTTATTATATCTCCCGGTTTTAATCCTCCCCTTGAATAGTAAAAATAATGAAAAATTATCTGCAAGTAAAAAAATATGACTTGAATTCTTTTTTAATACTTACGCATATGCGGGTGATCCAAACATTACTTTCCAAATAAGAACGCCGTGTCTTATGAGAGCTGGTACATACCCTCCCTGATGTTGCATATCATTAATGATATCTGATGTTAAAGTTAACATCGTTATCCCTAAATATCTTCTTCTTGAAGAATCTCCAGTTCTTGTAAGTATGGCTCCTAAGTAATAAAATGTATTACTACAATCAATTAATTTCCAATTATATGGTATTGATTATTATATTAATTTTAATAGAATATAACATAAGAGACTCAACAAGGATGCTTTTTCGACTCAAAATACTAAATATATATCATTCTTTTACCTTTGCTCTTTCTACGTTCTTCAGCTTTTTTCAAAAAATCTTTGGCATAATCTATTGGAATCGCAAAGGAAATACCAGCTGTAACTTTCATGGCATTTATACCAATTGCTTCACCATCTAAGTTAACCAAAGGTCCTCCCGAATTACCAAACTAAAACAAGTAACATTGGTATTACATAAGCTACTTAACACTAGACATCCAAATAACGCATATAAAATTCTATAACTTAAGAACAAAAATTTATATAAAAATTTTATCATCATAGATAAAAAGATTTGCTTATCAACTTTTCTCTCTTTGCAATTATTTTATGATTTATTTATGCTTTATACTTATTAAACAGCTTATTAAGAAAAATCTATATAATTTGTTATATATATCTTTTTTAAACAGTGTTTGCTTAAACATTTCAGTAAAATTGAATTGGTATTTTTACTACAAATTATAAAAGCTAATTAAAGATGATTGTTACCGTAATTGCAGCATCAGTTTGTATATATTCCATATTTTTGTGGTGCAGACCCAATTCTTGACTTTGCCTATTAACACTACTTATAACACCGCTCGTTATTGAATTGCTTAGAGCTAATGGAGAACCTATAGCAACAACAAATTCTCCTGGTCTCAATTTAGAAGATGACCCAAGTTTCATCACTGGTAAATTAGACTGCAAATAATAAATATTATGAAAAAAATTATTTAAATAACATCTACAATAAATTATTAATTTTATACTTTGTTTATTCGCACTGTTGCAAGATCGCTGTGGAAATCAATGTCTTCAACTATTCCAGTATAAGTAGTACCATCCTGAAGTCGTACCTATACAAATTTTAAAAATATTATACAATTTCTCTGATCCGGCAAGTTTCTTAAAAACAAGGAGTAAAAAGGACAAGGAATTGGGATGAGGAACTTACGTTTACCTGGACGGCAGAATTTGGTTTATTAATCACTACATGTGCATTTGTAAGAATCAATCCATCTTCTTTGACAATAAAGCCTGAACCATTACTCGCTGTTGCTGGTTTGCCTGTGAAAAGGTCTATCCTGTATTTAAAAAATAAGCCACTTTTTAATAAATGTTACAACATTTTCTATTTTGAATTTGATTATTTCAGTTACCTTTTTTGATCTTTTATTTCAATGTAAACAACAGCTGGTGCAGATATTTCTACTACGTCGGCAATAAAATTATATTTGGTTCTCTTGTTGTAAACTTCAGTAGGAGCACTCTTAGCATAAACACTCGGAAAAATAACATCTCGCAAAGTAGGATAAACAGGTTTTTTTTCTTCTAACTTGTAAGAAGCAAAACATGCACCTGAAGTGAAAAGTGCTGCATAGGTTAAGAATCGATGAAACGATCTCGGTTGGTTTTTGTATTTATACTCATGTGAATGTGAATTAGAGTATCTTGATTGACGAAAATTTCTTGAAAAAACTATAACTGTCAGCCTCAAAAAAGGTAATCTTACAGAAGGGTTCCGCGCTGTTTTCAATAAGGGAGTAGCCATTTTTAAAGCGCTACCTTACCTCTTTTTCTTAATCTTTTTAGATTCTTGTTTTTGGATATTTTATTCTGTCATTTTACCTAATAATAGGTATGTAATATTCTTACTTATTCATCTCAACACTTTTGTCAAATTTAGGATCATTTTTCATCAAAATTTTCATTCTAAATTATTTCCATAACATAAAATATTTCGAGTCGATGTAAATAATCTTAAATTTCGCGCTTCGTTAAATTTGCGAAAAATTCAAATATATAAAGCTTAAGTTATACTGCAATTTTTTAATCTTTTTTTAAACTAAAAGACTAGAACTACGATCCTTTCGCAATAAATAAATATAAGGTTGAAAATATAACCCTAATTATTTTCTGTCAATAATTTTTGCTATTGTAATATTTTGCAGAAAAATAAAATTATATTAACTAAATATATAGGATTGATGAAAATTATAAGAGGCCTTGATAATGCAGGATGCAAACAGTAATAAAAAATATAAGTCTACTACATGATCATTATTAATACAATAATATATTATTTGATTATTGTTTTTCACCATGGTACACGTTATAAGTACACGCGATATAATCCCTTGATCGCTTAAGAAAAAAGTATGTCACACGGTAATAACGAATAACTTTCATTTAACAAAATTTTAAGTATTTATTGTATTTTATTGAATTATTTGCTCAAACAATAAATCGAATGAAGCGCTTTATGCATATTTTATAATAAACTTTTTAAATATATTAGCCTAATCAGAGAATATGTTCATTAGCTCCAGTATTTTCTAGAAGAAAAGTTCCAAACGATGCTCCAATTTTTCGATCTTTCCCGATTTCATCTACTAATTTACAAGCGGAGTCAATTAGACAAGATTCTATAAAAATATAAAAAAATTTAAGTAAAAATAACTTTTCTTTTGGATTTGGGAATATCAATTATTAATAGTTAGATATCACCTTGAGAGCAACAAATACCGTTTGCGGCACATCTTCCGCTATTTCCTTGACACATAGCAAAACCTGCCACACAGGGTCTTGAATATAAACTTTCTTTTCGACAACGTAATGTTTCTGGGGTTCCTATTAAACAACCCATAGTTGGACCACAGCAAATATAAGGTCCAAAACAACGCCCTTGCTCTTCATGACCACATGCAGGACACTAAAGAAATGTATTATCAAGCAATAATGATAAATACTAACATTAATTTACAACATCCAACTACTTACTTCTCTTGCAATATTTTCTAACAAAAATGTCGGATCTCCTCGTTTACCTCCTCTAGGACAATTTGTTATTAAGCAACAGTAACTTGATGAAATAACCATTATAAAAACAACTAATTTAGACATATTGTAATCTACACTCTAATCAGTACTATTAAATAAACTTAAGAGATGTTGTTTACTTGGCATACAAAGATCTTCTGCTCTGCAGATACTTTATTCACACCTTTTTATATCTACTCAATCTGATTATTCAAAATACAGATGGTTTTTCAAAAAGATATTGCTCAATGGAGCACTCTCAGGATTATGGAAATACTCATCCATTCAATCCCATAAGATATTCATCCATTCATTTTTCTATAAGAACTACTACTTATAATGAGCTCATAAATAAATAAATATGCAATTTTTGGAAAGATCTACATAATGTATTTACACAATTTTACAAGAACTAAATATTTTAAATAATTTATCTATCTTTTACATTGAGATTTTTGCATGTTTGTAAGTTTTCATATTTCAAACTTAACAGTAAGTCAAATTCAAAAATGTATTTGATATTATTACATACGCACTGATTACATTTTTTATTATCTTTTCCTAACAATTACATTTACATTTCGTTTATTCAACTTACTGATTTTATTTATATTTATCTTCGCGTTCAGTGAGTTTTCAGTAGCAGATAACTTTTTTACTTGTTCATAGTTATTATTTGTATTATTTTGTAGAATAACTTTTTCAATTTTAGGTCTACTTCCATTCGAGTTTTTATTTTAAATATCCAATATTTTTCTTATATATTTTTGTCAAACTTTCAATTTGGATTGCAGTTTTAAGTTTTCGTTGTTTTGCATTTGATCCTAAAATTTCATCAGTAGTTGTATTTTTTCTTTTTTTGCTTTCGAAATTTTTTGCTTTATCCTTTTTGGATTTAATTTGAGAGCATTCTCTTTGTGTATGGCCTGTACAAAAATATCAGTCATTAGTAAAAAAAATTTAAGGCTATAATGAATATTTAGGGTTTTTCTAAATAAGAGATGTCAGACATTAGATGTGGAAAATGCTTGGAGGTAGAAAAATAAATGGATTATTTAACATTAACTCGTAAAATCAAGAGATATTTTGAAAATGATCCTTCTGAGCCAGGCACAATTTCTTAATATGCTAATTACAAAGAATTAATTTGTTTTCTCACCTTCATACCTGTCTGACATTCGATATATGTTATATAGAAAGTATCTTGATATCAAGGAACTAACCTGTTACATTACATTTGAAGCAACTTCCAATTTTTGGTTTCTGCCCACATTTATGATTAGGTAATGAACATCTATCACACTTTTTGCAATGTTGCCATGTAGGTTTGACACAACGCTGACATATCTTGCAATGTCTATATCTACGACCATCTTTTGAAGTACAGCTGTGACAAATTTTACAATGTTTATTTTCTGATGATACCCATCTTTGACACCTTTTGCAATATTTGTATCCATCTGATTCAGGTAGCTTGACCAAATTCAAAGGTATGTTTGTAAATATGCGAACTTGAGAACCCTGTTGTTGATTATTAACTTTTGAAACAAATAGTGGATGATTATCATATTCTACTTTATAATCAGTCATGTGTAAGTCTTTCAAGCCACCACAAACATTTGAAGGGTTTGATTTTTCCTTCATCACGGCTTCCATAAAGTATGGAAACATAAACATTATTTTTAGTTCGTCTTTACTATCTGTTATCTTATTTAATTTTTTATGTAAATCACTGATTGTCTTAAAGGTTTGTGAAATTGGTTCAACTCTACCTCCAAAGGGTGGATCACATATTAAATACATATTCTTCCCACCATTTTGTGTGATAAAGTCTTTAAAGACTTCTTCTGAATCTTTTTGAAAAAAGTGATGATTAAATAAGTTATACCAACAGTAAGTTAGAGGTCCAAAAAAGTTATGCTACAATTAAAAAAATATTTTAATATTCATTAAGAGTAATTATTGATAAAATTAATATCTTATTTTTGAAACTTACAAATCTGCCATCAAAATCTAATAAAAGACTAGACATTTTGCCTTGAAGGTTGTGAGCAATATACTCATGTATCCTTGGTGTTCCAATACACAATACATTTTCAGCATTCAAGTCTAATAATATTTTAATTATGTCTAAAACAGATTTTTTGGAAAATAAATACTGAGCTTCTTTCTTAGAATCTTCTAAAGGTTTTAATAGCTCAGATGGATGTGTCATCTGATAATCTGTCAAATTTTTTATAACTTCGTGATCAGCATGTTTGTTATTTTCAGTGATTATGAACAATCTTTCACATGTATAACAATATGCTCTGTTTGTACTGCTCATATTTATTAACTGATTATATTGGATGAAAAGTTTCTGTTGAGGGTACATTGCTAATGCTTTTGCTTTCTCTTTTATTATGATTTGTTTTTGTTGTTTGCTTTGTATTTTTCCATACTCCAAAGAGAATGAACATAGTTTTCTATCTCTGCATGCTGAACAAGCATAAAACTTATATAAATTACCATCTGTTTCTCGTCCAAACATTAGTGATGGACCTAAAGAAAAACCAAAATAGTTCATGAAAAAAGTAACTACTTTTTATAATAAAAATTGAATCTATAAAAATTATTGAATAATTTTTAACTAATCGATATATTTAAATTGGCAATTAATGTTAAATTCATATCTTACCATGTATACACTGAGGATGATTTATCAGTTTACTCCAATAACAATGTAAACTACCTGTTGGTGTGTGTTCTTTCATTTTGAAATAATATTTTGATATATAAAAATTAGTTACTCCTCGAAGTTATATTTTTTCTGCTGAAAGAAAACAAAGAGTTAGAAAAACACTTTAAAATGTTATCGTTTTCTTGTTATTCCAATGCAATAAATACACTTCTTTTGTTTGAATATTAATTTTAAATGCACGCGTGCATATTTAAGACTTGCATAATAAACATAACCTTGTCAACATTACAAATATTCAAAATGGATGTAAGATATAAAGAATTCTAAATAATTATTGAATATTTTTAGTTAAGTTACAATTTTTTTAATATCTATCTTTTTGATAACAAATTTTTATTGTAAAAAACTTTATTTATCAATGGCAAAGATATATATACATGCATACATCTGTTTACATCGAGATATCGCGCGGCGTTTATATTATTTACGACTGCAGAGACACCTAACCTAACTATATAACTATATTGTACAAGGAATACTATATATATATATTCGTTGATATAACTGCAAGGCGAACGCCTGAAGCGTACACATTGATTGTATTAACAGTAACAGCCTGCAATAATTAGTCTATAATCTGTTCAATTAAGGTTTCAAAAAAACCATTTTATTAATAAATACGATTGTGCAAATGGAAATTTATTCTACATATTTATAACGTTATAAAATATCACACATACGGAATTCTGATATAGAAGACATAGAATTCTTTGATATAGCAAAATTATCAAAATGTAGTTCTCAATTTTACATTAGTACATAGTACTTTTTCGATGACTGAAATTAATATTTTAAGTGTATCTAGAAAATGCTGTGATTTAGAATCAAAATGTCACGCCTAAAAGGCAGAACGTCAATGACAATCATTTTATTGATTATCTTTGCTTTGTTAATAATAGTGTACCACCTATTAAGTAGTGAAGTGGATGATGTTTCAAGTAAGTTACATCCACATATTAAGCTTGATAATAACTACTTGACAAGGATTCCACAAAATATTTTAGGGAAAGAAAAATTAAGAGCCCAATCAGGTGATAATCAGGACATGAATGAAGAAATTGACAGTATTGATAAAAATAATGTAGACAAAAGTTCTTATAGAAGTGAATCATTTTATAAAGGTCATAAAATGGTACATCTCGATCTAAAAGGTGCGCCTCCAGTTATCAATTATTATAGATATTTATTTCCAGTAATCAAAAAGTTAGGTGCTACTGGAATACTTATTGAATATGAAGATATGTTTCCATTCAAAGATGATCTTGCTGATGCTAGTGCAGAAAATTGTTATTCTGAAAGTGAGATATCAGTCATTCAAGAAATTGCTAAAGAAAATAATCTCATTGTTATACCTTTGATTCAAACATTTGGCCACTTAGAATTTCTTCTAAAGTTAAAGAAATATATAGATTATAGAGAAGTATATCGTTATCCACAAGTTGTATGCCCCACATATAACAAAACTCAAAGTCTGCTCTTTACCATGATAGATCAAGTTATAACACTGCATCCTCATATACAATATTTACATATTGGAGCAGATGAAGTCTACCAATTGGGAGAATGTATCAGGTGTGCAGAAAAAATGTCTATGAATCAATGGAATAAAAAACAGCTTTTTCTCAATCATGTGCATGCTGTAGCATCATATATTAAAAAAAAATATCCCCGACTAGTTGTACTTATGTGGGATGATGAATACAGAGATATAGAGCCTCAAGAAATAATAAGTAGAGGTTTGAATAAATTAGTACAGCCTGTTGTCTGGAAATATACAACAGATCCTATGTCCGTTTTAACTGATCAACTATGGGAGAATTATGCCCAGGTTTGGAAATCAGTTTGGGTAGCTACAGCTTTCAAAGGTGCTACAGCACCTGACAGATATTATACCGATATTTCTTATCATGTTGAAAATCATCAAAGGTGGTTAGAAATTATTGTTCGCCAATCTAAACGCATAAAATTTCAAGGAGTAATGCTTACAGGATGGCAGAGATATGATCATTTCAGTGTTTTATGTGAATTAATACCATCAGCACTGCCATCACTTGCTGTTAACTTAATGGTTTTGCAATCTTCTGATTATAATACATTTCCTGTAGAGGTACCACGCCAAATAATGGATATTTTAAACTGCGATGGCTTAATTACTTTGAGTCTTCCAGAACCCCAATATGGATGGACAAAGTGCAATTACTTTGGCTCATCCATTTATTCTGCTACATTGCGTCTTCATTCACTGTGCCAAGATATAGCAAGGATGGAACAAGATAGTACATTCAAAGGATGGTTGAAACCATATAACATCAAATATGTATTTTCAAATCCAAGTCATGTTGAAAGAGCAGTTGTTGAACTAGACAGATACAAAATGGAAATAAACTATATAGAAAAAGAAATGAAAAGTGCTATGGAAGGAATTTATAATAACTACACAATACAAGAATGGCTTGAAACTTATGTATATCCCTTAAATGATAAAATTAATGCCTTATGGGATGCCAAAGAAAAAATACTTGATAGAGAATCATGGCCTAGGAGACCACTAGTAAAACCTTCCGATACATAATACATAGTTTTTCTTTAATAAGATGATAACAGTCCTTAGAAGAATATAAAGTAGTATTTAAAAGTTTATTGGTTTTGATGCAAACAATTTGAAATACAAGATTTTTTACCGTCCAGTGGTCATTGTTAATTATACTCAGAACTGTGAAGCTATTAAAATTATTAAACTTGTATATATATATATATATATATATCAGCTTAAAGCAACAAAATCTCTAATAATTTTTGTCAATAGCTTTTACTGTTTTCGATAAATATTTCAAAAACAAGTGCAATAAGTCGAACGTGATTGACCAATTATCCGATTCATTTTTTAAATAATTTCGTTAGTTCAACTTATTTCTACCTTTTTTATTCAAATTGAAAGGTAACAAATTTTATATTACTTCATGACACACATGAAAGTAAACAAATTCTTTTGCCGCACAAATAATTTATAATGTGCAAAACTTGCATATAGGTATTTTATTCTAACACGAAACTCATCATTAAGATGAAATAGTTAATGCCTTGTTATGTTATTAAAATCCAATAATTTTATATTATGTATAATAAATAAAACTTATGAGGGGTAGGTGAAATATCGTTTTTAAAAAATGTACTTTCATGTTTATGTAAAATTATCAACTTTATTTGTTATATACTATTATAATAACTAAAAAAACATACATTAAATTTGCTTTTATCAATTATATACAAACTTTCATTATTTCGCATATCTTCACGTCTAACGACCAATAATTATTTTATTGTAGTTAGTTACATACAGCATGGCACACAAAGTGGAAAAAGAATACATTTTTATTATAGCATTCTATTATAGTATTAAAATTTAAAACTATGGACTTGAGTGATTTAAGCTGACCCACATATTCAATTAAAAATTGTAGCAGCTTTTCTCCAGATAATATTCTATAAGTGATAAACGCAATTTAATCACTATTCAAGTATTCTCAGCTGGCGTTTTTCCAACAAAAAAAAATTTTTATTGTATTGTAATTGTTGATATAAACAAAAATAACAACTGACGAACGAGCTGAATATTCATATTTTGAAAGACTACAATAAATTTTTTGATAGCGAAAATTCGGTATTCAGGCATTAGGAATTTTATTAATGGTATTTTATTTAGATTGATGGCATTCATAATATAAATTATGAATATCAATGGGGTTCTTATCATTTAAATCGAATGAAACGTTTCATTCTTAAAAAAAATTATTACTTGTACTTGTTTCTGTAAAAGTTACTCTAAAATAGTTTGATTTACAACATTTTAAAGAACGTACTTATTTGTTTAAATATACTGGTAAATAGTAAGTAAATAAAAATTTGTAATGAACACTTATATAAAAAATTTATATGTTATAAAGAACCTATTTTAACATATACAAACTAATCATATTTTCATGTGTCATTGTAAAGAGCAAGCAACCGACTTCGACATGGGTACATGAGGGTGAAAATGGTGAATAGTTATTTTCTTTTTATTCGGACGCCTCTTAACAATTTTTCGGTTTTTGAATAGCGGTAGATCCACCGAATCACCTATTTCTGCGACAACAACCGGTTTGTGGAAATCTTGATCTGCTTTAGTCAATTGAATTCCTAAAATTTTTGCTGCTAGATTGACTATACATAATGATACCTGAAAAATTCAACAAATATGATTAGTACTTTGGAAATTATCATGGTCTTTTAGTCAGCAAAGTTCATGTATAGGTTTGCACGCTTTTCACTTCGAGTTTGGTTATTAGCAAAAAGTAATTACAGTAAATTATTAGATAACATTTCCTGTAATAGCCATTTGAAGTGATAGTCACGTTTTAATTTTCGATAATTTATGAAAAATATTCTTTTGATTACGGAAATGTGAAATTGTATTCAACTATCAATTAGCTACTTCACCTTTATGACGAAAGGCCACGCGGTAACAGCTTTTGGCACATATGTCAATATGACTTGCCACCCGAAGATTTGATGTGCGTGTGCATATATTTTTGAAATAACACGATGACCGCCGAAATAGGATCATCAATGATTAAAATGGCTTACCGATTCTCCAGTCCTGGCTGACATGTCGTGATAGTAGAATCCATTATCCGCTGCAAATTTATATGATTTTTCTCTTTTGACAGTACGTTGATGTTCCATATCACACTTGTTACCTATAATCGCCAATAATGGCATTGCATTGAGATCTTCACTAACCTCGCGTATTTCTGTTATCCATTCCTCGAGGATATCAAAACTGGAGCTATTAGTTACGTCGTAAACGAGCATGATGATCTACCAAAAAGATTTTCTTATTTTCATTTGATTGTACGTTAACGAACACAGTAACAGAGTCTTGTCATGATCACGGATAATTGTACGACATTTTTTATTACGAGAAAACATTTGTCATGAGTATACGACTTACATTAGCTTCGTAAATGTATTTGTCCAGCATGTTACCGCGAAGCGACAGGCCACTGACGTCCCATAAGTACATATTGACATTTTTGTAAATTCCCAAGCTGAGATTTTTTAAATAGAAATCTATACCAGCCGTTGGGGTGTACTGTCGTGAAAATTCATCGTTGCAGAATTTGACCGCAATGCTGGTCTATAGAAATTACTCGTTTTATTTCATTCGCAACCAACATTTTCGTATAACATTATACGACGATCGGTCAGTTTGATTGTGTCATTCATTAGCTTACGTCAACCAACTTTGTGTTTCAAAATAAGCTAGTTTATAAATACCAACGATTTTTCGACGTTTGCACAAGCAACTTTTCTATTTTACTTGAGAAAACTGCCATTTGCAAAAAAGAAATGTTGGCAGTGATGGCTCAAACATGTCCCCATCATCGTGAATATTAAAGAGCTTTCGTACACTATTAGAACTGTGCGTGAGCATTTGACATATCGATTGACGCAGAAAGAGAAAAACAAAGCCCGTTGACGAGTATCGTAGAACTAGAGCTATCGTGCGTCCATCAACTCACTTTGCCAGCAGCAGAATCGCCGACCAAAACGATCTTGATGCGCTTCTCGGTGTAGTCGTCCTCCGTATTGGACATCTGGGAGTCGAAGAGAAAGCTTACGGCCGGGCCGCGGCCACGAGACTAACTGACTGGCCGGCCTTACACGCAGCAGCTACAGCCCCCAATGTGCCTCGACCAAATCGACCCGCAACACACGCGCGCACCTCCGCCAACATGAATAAATTATCGTGGCCGAATCGATAAAAGCAACTCAGCTTAGCGTGACGATTTCTCGGGCGGCGGCGAGTCAGGTTAACGATGACCAGCGCTCGAGCCTGCGTAATACATGTCTCGCACTCTTTTTCCCTCGATGTAACGCGGTTTTCCCGTGCTGCCGGCAGCGGCAACAATTGCGCTGCGCGTGCACACAATACTGTCACTACCCTCGTCGCGCGTCCGCTGACTCGCTATCGGCGTCACAACAAAGCCTCACCTTGGAAACTTGTGGCTTCTCCGGGGCTTTAACTTCAAACACTCGATGTAGTAATGTATCGATCGGTCACTTCTCTTGTTCAGGAATTTTGAAATCCGATTAATTGTTGTTCCTCGATATCGATTGTTACCAACGATCCCTGCTCTTTTCCACGTAGGCGCAAATAAATCGTAAAAAGCCTTCTGAACGCGCTATTTCCACCACGACGTGTTCAATTTTTTCATTCTGCTTTCTGTATACGCTGGCGTTCAATTGCGGCTCTGCTCTAAAAGTCGAAAAATTGCTGAGTATCGATGCTGCAATGCCATTAGGTGACAATACATTATTACTTCCTTCATTCTCATTCTTTTTCAAACTAATCTAGATCAATATTAAACATTGGTATAATCTTAACTTTTGAGGAAAAAGTGCGAACGTTAAAAAATATATATAAGTAAGTCAAACTTGTTGCAAATTGTGCGTTGACGTTTATTTATTTTCAATTTTGAATGTAGACCTATTACATTAATCAAATGTTTCGCGAAAAATTTAATTTTACCGGTTCGCTTGAAACGACTGATCGTTCAACAGACTGCTCGTTTGATCGCAACATTGAAACAGCAAACATCAAGCTCGAATAAGTAAGCGTCTTGTATTTGGAAAAAAACAGCAATTTCGATGACTCTCCCTTGTAAAATTGAATTGAATTTGTACATATTAGTAAGTAGAGTAAAACGTTATTAAAGTTGAATAGAGGAAAATTGATCGAAAATGCGCCTTCTTCAAGTACAATCAGAATATAATGAAAAGGGAAAAATTATAATAGCGATAATTCCATTGGTCAAATGCACATGTCAATCACACTTATGTGCATGCGCTCCTTATTGACCTCATTTTTAATTTTGTTTTTCCGCTAAGCTTCTCAATACGCACGTATATACCAACTTTTCGAAGCTCGCATCGATCAACTATCATTTGTTTCGGACAATTCGCAGTTGAGGTTCGCACATGTATCGTATATATAAAAGTGAGTATGTGTCTGCGTATGCGATAATTTTGAATGTTCATTCGTGTTCCTTTTCCATGTGGCGTACTGTACAGTGTCGAGTCCCAAATAGACTGCGTATCTAAAATAAATATTTTATCTTTCTTAAAAAAATACCGCGTAAAAATACTTTGTTTAGAGTATAACAGCGACCGCCTTGAGTAACGCGCGAGAGACGATCATCAATTAAAAATTAAATCCTTGTAGTTCTGTAGCATGTAGTAATTGGAAACTCGGCAACAAGTTGTCGTCCTTACGACCGTGGTTCTGTCGGCTCGTTCAAAGTTAGCTTTGACGATCTCGTAGTACCTTCCGTCACTGAAATACCAAGTTCGAGCAAAGGCTTCAGTTGCACGAAAATCATAGTTGTGAAATTGCAGTTTCATCAATACGCACCTCAACGTCAAACATCTCAGCTTGATACACTTAACTCTTAGAATGTCAATAGCTTTTTGACTTTTGTCGGAGAATCTCAAGTTCTCTGGATCCCAACGTAGCTCCAAACGCTCCAGGTTCGGACAGTTATTCGCAATACCGTCCATCAGTTGATCCACGTGGATGTTGACGCCCAGTCTTTCGTTGGTGCCCATGACTATGATCCTGCAATCGTCATTATTCATTCATAAAATTGCCAATGAATGATCGAAGCCCTGTCCTCTCCGTATAGATAAAGAGATAGGCGTTGAAAATAGGCGAGCCTTTGCTCCACGAATGCCCTCTGACTTTGGGTTATCGTCACAATTTTGCTCTATCAGTGAATAATCGTGGAACAAAGAGTCTCTGGTTTTCAACGTGTATTGCAAGAGTGCGTGCATTTCACGGGAGTGGAGGGCTCAAAGAAAATGACATGCTTATGGTACCGCGATGTCGCCGACTTAATGACTTTGATTATCGTAAACAAATTTGATACTAAATCTGTAGATCAACAGTGTAAAAATTGCATACCGCGGAAACGAGCAGAAATACGAGTAGGTGAGGAGCCTTGAACGCTATACATATAGCGAACGCAGAAACAATGTCAATCACTAGGAAGCTAAGCGTTGTCTATAAATATTGAATGGAACGTATTAGGACGAGCAGAGTAAGAATGAAAATACATACTTAGCATTGGTGAGGATAGGCAAGACACTCTGCCAGAGCTGATCGGTGATGTGCGGCATGCCCGAGAGCGTAATGGCCCAGAGCTGGTGACCGTAGCGCGAGAGAAACTTGTGAAGGGCATCGTCGCTGAGGTTGTCCGAGCTGTCGAGGTCGAGGGCGATGAGGTTCCGTGGATTTCCCAGCTCCATCCAGGCCTTGAGCACGCTGTCGTTGAAACCGTTGAGCTGGCCGGCGCTCAGGAAGCGCAGCCCGGGGATCCGCGAGAGCATGTCGATGAGGCACTCGGTCGACAGGTCGGTCCCCGTCACGTCCAACTCCTGGATGCTTGACTTCTCCCACTCGACCTGCATCACGTGCTCGCTGTGGAGATCTGCAAGCGCGTCGTCGCCAATTAGCGCGCCGTGGATGGGAACGAGGAGCCGGTCCACTCACTTGTTCCTTGCATGAGCAGACACCTGAGCCGCCTACTCCTCTGGAACAAGGTTTTCATGGTCGAGCCGGTGACCTTGGCGCAGAAGTTGACGGCCAAGCACTCGAGCTGTATGCAGTTCGACGAGAAGGCGTCGATGTGCGAGTCGTCCACGAAATTGATGCCGTACAGGTTGATTACCCTGAGGTTCGGCGTGGCCGACTTGAGCTTGTGCACGTTTATCACCTCGTAGATCTCCTCCTCTTCTTCCTCGACCTTCTCGTACGTTCCTGAAATCGCGTCGAGTCATTGCTCCTCACCGAAATTCGTGATTCGGCTCTCCACCGAGAGAACAAAAGTCATTTGACCGGCAAAACCAGAATACCACGTGACACTCGTAATTGTCAAATGAGTATTTTGCTCTCGTGGCCAGATTACGCTGCGACGGCAAACCTATGAGGTGGAGAATCTCCAAGCCGTTGATAAAGTTGTAAATTTTGCGCATGAAGCCCTCCATGAAGATCACTTCCGACAAGCAGATGCACATGTACTTGAGCTTGGTGGGGAAAGCTTGCATCTCGGAGAAGTCGTGAAGCTGCATCGCCGTCGAGAAGTCGAGGAGCATGTGCGTCAGATTCGGGCACTTGTTCGACAGCTCGTGAAGGACTGTGTGGGTGATTAATTCGATTGGCAGTTCGATGTAGCGCAGGGACGGCCCGAATCGCACGCTGTTGCAACGAAAGTTATGTTATTCGTATGTGCACTAGGCGGTAAACATTAGCAGCGAGTGAAGGCACAGATAGAAAACGCTTCCGCGAAAGTTATGCGATTGCTATAAATATCGCCAAACAAACGTCTGCGATATGGAACACGCCACGAGAATTGACGCGAAGAATTGATCATAGGGAAGGAAGCGAGGAGATTTTCCGATTTTCCAACTTTCCGGAAATTGCTCTCGACTCACCTGACCAAGTGGAGGAGGTTTTCCAAGGACGTCACGTGAAGACCACTGATTTCTGGTCGCAGAGAAACGTGCGTCCAAAGCTTCGAGTCGTAAGCTACTTGGCGCCATCGCTTGCAGATTTTTGCCATCCGACATATTTCCCGATGAGACAGATAACCAAATATGTTGAGTAGTACTTTGTCGGGTAGTTTTTCTATCGTCTGAAAGAAAGTAAGCGTGGAAGGGTGAATGGCTACTGGCAGAAACACAATACATTTAGACGACGCTGTGGCCTCGAAGATTGGGGCGAATGTTCCTACCAGGTGTTTTGAGAACTTACAGTGTTCGCGAATCGACTCTTAATGACGCCACCCTCGCAGACGTACATCTGCGAGGTCTCCACGGCAATTTGACCCCATACGTCAAGACCCTCCATTTCTCGCAATTTTCACGATATATCTCTTTGTCGAATGCAAACACAGTGCAGCGAAACGTGGTGCGTGCGCCGAGCAGTGCCGACCGAACGATCAGTTTTGACGCCCACAGCTGAATTCCAATCGAATGCTTGTCACGCAGATCGGCTGCTTCACATATGCAAAATTGCACTACACTTTTGTGTATCTCTGAGGCAAAATTTCGAAGCAAAGTCACGATATTCATCGGTGTTTAATCTAATCGCGCATGCGCAACTACAGCCTAAATATACCCTGCGAGACTTGGTTCAGACTTAAATTTAAACATGCGCCGCCGGTGCAGTCGTCTCTGTCTGGACTAGCCATAAATTCAACAAATTCCATATGCACAACGACTTCAATACCGACGCTTATTGATGGATGAGCGTTATTTCGAGCATTTACAATCGCACCAACTGCGTTTCGATCGCTCAAAAATATTATTCTTCCGTCTACGCGTCATTGTGCTCGTATCGCCATCTTAATCGCGATTACGAACCCTCGCATTATTCATTTTCGCTGCGTTCATAAACAATACTTATTCAAAATTAAGAATTTCACGCTTGCGAATTGAATTTACATTATTTGGCGAACTTTATTGGGCGTTGCCAAAAAGCACGAAGTGCCAGACAAATTTTTGGCCGCGATTCCTGATCATAATTTATGAACCTCATTCAATCTTAATATACACCAATCTCGAATAAATATCGTATCATTCATACAAGTATTATAATATTTTATGCATCTATTGTGTTATTATTTGCGATAGAGAACACCTGAGCCAATGAATTAACGCCAGAAAATGATTTTTACAAATAACGACTGCATGTAAACGTTATCGTATCAATGGAAAACCACAAATGTAGATCAATCAAACATATTCATGATTAATTAAAAGTAAGTTTTCGTGGCACTTCACTGACTTAACTCTGACGTGTTAATTGATCTTTTAACGCGACTAAACATTATCCGATATATGTACATTAATGCTGCTTTTTAATCGATTATTTGTACAACATTTAACATCAGCGAAAAATAGTACCAAATAGCACAGATTTATAAGACGCTAATATTATGGTCAATCGAGCACTTCACGATTTTTTATTTTATTTTCAATTAGTATCTGGACTTTGGATAGCAAGTTGAAATCACAATAAAAAAAAATTTACGAGAATATCTGAAATAAATCAATCATAATACTTTGCGGACTTCCTGATTGATGTTAGAATGGCACATTCGTTTTGCAAGAGACCTGTCATGGCTGACAATAAATTACATCCACATATATCTATTTCGTGATGTTTGAATAAAGTTAGTATCTATTATAATAATCTCACGAGCAAACTGATACATTGAAACACGCAGTAACACATATACATTTTCAAAATTGCACGATCTACTTACAGTACGTCCCATTATTTTTGGAGCACGTTTTATGTTCTTAGACATTTTGCTCGTGAACGTTAAATGTATCAGTGCTGCTGCAAAAACAAATAAAAAATCGTCATAATTGAAAATAACGAATAACTTCACGACAACGATCATTCCGAAGCGAGCTGAATGAAAAAATTGGCTTTACAAATTGAGGCTCGATAACAGCACAATGTTCATATTCGAATGAAGAAATCGCTACACCCAAAGTACATCAACTTATCCAAAATCGATGCAACGCAGAATCCACGGTTATATTAAGCGATGAGACTCGAACATTTAATCTGACACTCGATCAAATTCAATCGCGATCAAAGAGAATGGGCAAGCGGCAACAGTTAAACGTGCAGCACTAGCAAAAATACGAATATAATAAGCAACAATAAAGCGAAGCTGAAGGCACTTGCCGCGTGAGGAAAAAAGGCTGGATAAGTGGATGTAGCCATGAGTGCAGGAGCCCTGTGGCAGGCGAAAAGACTGCAAGGAAAGCAGCAGAAACAAAAACAGTGGACGATTACCGTGAGCTTCTTTTTGCGTATGCTACCGTGCAAATCGTCGCGCGAAATAGCGCTGATGGTTGCGTGCTCGACATTGAGCTGATTCCAGACGTTCATCTCGCTGGCAGCTGCTCGCCCTGCGCGCCCGCGCTCGTCAGTTCAGCAGCAACAGCAGCAGCGGCCGATCGGTCGGACAATAACGTTCGCGCGCCCGTTGCGTCATAGACGTGGCCTGTGCGCGGGCAGAGCGCAGGATCGCGATTCCACCTCGAGGCGCGGCGAGACTGCGGCTGCAACCCTCCTGTGGCGTAGCGAACGCGAGCGGACGCTGGCAAAGCCGACCAGCAACCCTCGACGCGCGTGACGCTATAGCGCGAGACACAACCCCGACTAGCGCGAAGCCGCCTGAGTCAAGTCTTTAATTAGTTATAAATAAAGGCAGGCATTCGGCCAGAGTGGGCCGCCGCCGCAGCCGTAGCCGCCGTCTATCGACAACGCGCTCGCGATGAAGCATCGATGCGCGCCCAGCCGTGCACACACCTTCGAGTCGCAGCACATGTGCGCCAGCCGCCACCGCTTAGCCCTGCCGTCGGCCGCTATATAGTCGAAACTATTGTCTCCCGGCCGCGCTCGCGCCAGCCAGCCACTCTCTCTCTCTCTCTCTCTCTCTCTCTCTCTCTCTCTCTCTCTCTCTCTCTCTCTCTCTCTCTCTCTCCATCCTCTTTTTCCCCCGGCAGAAACGCGACAAGTGTTGCAGGCTCACCGCTATGCCAACTCTACCGTGCGCGCATTTTCGCGCTTTGTCGCGAGACACGATTAACAAATGTCGCCAACAGCCTCTTCTGCGTGCGAAAATTCCACGGGTGCGGCTCGCACGACCGACTTTCCCCGGTTAATCGATATTGATCGTCCGTCGATGTCGCTTCTCCAACGCTCTGTTCGAACTGTTTGCTGAGCTCGCGTCCGTTCAAAAGACACCTCGCTCCGTGCCTCGCTCGACGTTGAGATTTCACGAAAGTCGCGATGTGATTGCTTTGCGATTCTTTACGTACATTCGTTTGCGTCTTTAAAATAAAGACAGAATACTCGCTGGAGTATTCTTTTGACATTCATATACATATACCATATAGAAATAACATTTACTTATAATTGTTTTTATATGGTAGACAAATTGTAAATAAACTCGGAATAAAAAAAAATTCGTTTGTTGCCTTGTCGTTGCCTTGAAAAAAATCGTCTGTTCTCGTGTCAGATGTTCATAGGTACGATGACGGAGTCATGGCGGATGACCGTACAAAACCAGTGCTATTTTACTAAACCAATAAATAAATGCGAGTGCAATAAAAAGTTACTGTAAAGCCGAAAAAAAATTATGAATATGTATTCAACAAGCGCGTTTTAAAAATATGTCGAAGCGGAATTCCCGACATCGCTAAACGATTTCAGAATGCTGAAAAGCAGCGCTATTTTTATCCCTAATGGCTTTCGAGCTAAAGATTGAGCGTAAGCGCTGTAAGTCTGCTCGCTTTCAATCACTTGTATTACAATATTTCTTCAAGACATTTTCGACGAGTAATTTTATGTACCTCCCCCCGAGTAAATTGATTAACCCAATTGCTGAAAAAGAAGGGAAATACGCGAAAGATAGACTTTTTTCTTCTTCCCAAGCGAGTTTGAAGAATTAAGCTTTGCATGGTTAACGTAGATAATACACTCACCGTATTCGATTTCCTGATAATCTGTTGCAATTCCGATCCATCCTGAGGACCATTAAGCTGTTGCAGTGCAGCCTCGACGCTCAGGACGTTCCAATTGGACATTCTGCGCGTATCCATGATTGTTAGGTCGTTTAAAGATGCGCGATGAATAAACGAACAAGTAATAGACACACACAGAATCGCGCGATTAGAAGGGTGCTTTTCTGGTTTCTCACAAAAATGACGGAAATCAGTGTTGTGGTTGTGTTGTACGCGCTTGCTGCAAGCCCTTGCAGTAGTTTGATTAAGTATAGAGAGAAAGAGAGAGAGAGAGAGAGTAAAGTAGAAAAGCTCAGCGACATAAGCGGTGATCGAAGATGTTTTCACTCTAACAGTTCGTGCAGATAGTTATAGCGAGCGACGGCACGCAGAAGGCCGCGGAAAGAGAAAATTTTGAAAAACCCATTTATTTGAATAGCCAATTGTTTTACCGTGGTGCTGAATCCATCAAGTCTTTCATTGTTTTCTACTTCTGACTTTAGCCCTTTTCGCGTGCGACTATTAAGCTGTGTGGCTGTGTGTAGCTTCGTGTTTGTTTTTAAAAGGCTTCCCTCTCGCACACAAACGCAGTGACGATGTTCATCACGTTTTACTGCGTCGTTTCAACGCAACAGACCAGGTAAACACGACTTTGATCGTTAAAGCTAAACAAATTAAGGGTAAAATTCAGCAACCGCGAGTCGCGCACCAACAGTCTTTTATCGAGTTAGCGAGCTGTACAAAACTGTAGGACAACAAGTAAGCTAGGCGTATCAAGTGTAAACTGGCAGAGGCGGCCTACTCGGTCATCATCGTCATCTTGATTGCGATTGTTCTTTGGCCGACTTTACGTGAGAAACAACAAAACGACGAACGAAGAGCGCAAGCTCTGTCTCTCTCTCTCGCTCTGTCGTCGCGCGCGCAAACAGAGGAATAGCGAAGCTTTCGATCTCGTCCCGAGCTTCTGACTACTAGTCACTCTTCTACTGGCCGACTCGACTTTGAAAAATCCGGCAGAAGCATAATCGTGTAACATTCTCCGCGCTCGAGTGGATCCCGAAATAGACATTCTGGAGAGTCTACCACTGGCGACGTCCGCTCTTCTTCTACTTCTGTTGTATACACGAGCGCGGGAGTGGCATATTGCCTGCCTGCTTGACTCGCTGCCTTATGCATCTTCTTCGGGAGTTGTATTCGTGTCAGTTCCGCTTTATCAATCTTTATATTGAAGATAATTTTTACCCATTTTCATGAAAGATCAGCTTGTACTCATGGCTCAATAGATAACATTCACGGAATTCAATTATTGATAAAGTGATTAATTTGTTTAGACCGGAAGAAACTCCATCAAAGTTATTTAGAACGTACAGTGATTTTAAAAATACAAAAATAGACACCAAAGTTCATATATATATATACACACACACACGCGCGCGCGCGCGCACGCACTACACATGGTTGACTCCTCTTTATAAACGTTGATCAAATGAAAATGAAAAATATTACTACAAACATTCAAATGTTTAATCATTTGGGTACATTTGTATTTTCCTCACGTACAGACATTTTGTTCAAAAATGGTATGGCAACTAGAATGATAATTATTCAATATTATCATTATGTTAAAAGATCCCACAATGCATTTTGGTTTTATCAAATCTTTATTAATATTCAACATCAAAAGTTCACAATATTTTCAAGATTATGTGAAATGTGTTTGCATTGTTATACAATATACACAAATAAATATATAATGATTACTACAGCATATTATTATTGAATTGACTAATGACATTATTTCAAAAATCATTCTTTCGAAGGTATATTTTGAAAGCAAGGTATTAATGAAATATCATAATTACGGTTACTATTAATAGATTGATATTTTTTACAATATAATGTGTTTGTATAATAATTACTATTTCAAAATATTTTTTTTTATTATTGTAGGCGTCATCATCTTACTTGTCATTCTTATTTAAAAGGTTATTTTAAAATGCCTGATTTTTTATATTTAACAAATATGTTCGATTAAATTCATATAAAATAAATAAAAATAACTGAAATACTGGAACCACGACACATGGTTATGAAAAATAATTGATAATGGATTAAAGATACATTAAGTCTTTATATTTTTAAATTTTCTACACCACCATGTAATATAAACTTTTCAAGTACAATGTATATAAGATAATTTTCAAATAGATTTTGATGGGTTAAATGATCCGTTCTTGAACTGTTCATTAATATTATATTTGCCTGAAGCCGGGCACGTGGTTTCAAGGTTTTTAATCAATTTACATTGTGTAAGTATATCGACAACGCGTATTTAGCACATTGATAGTTCATTCAAAATAATTAGTAATGCTTTTTGTGGATTGGATATGGCGGTAAATCGTATATTGAAGAAAAGATTAGATTGCATAATTAAACCTTCATACCTTGCGTGAATCAAAAGAATGTCTGTAAACTTTGGAAAATCCATTGTTACGGGTAACGAAAACTGCGTCAGAGATCAAATTGAGTTTATAATCACAAGATGAATGAAATAAAATAAAAATTGCATCGCCCATGCAAGGCAAGTGTCTACACGCGACTGAAATCATTTGCAGTCCGCACTTGATTGAAATATATATATATAGATTTTTTAACATTGTTTTAAAGGCCAAAACTCGTATATATTGGCAAGTAATCTCCTTGCATAATAAGATTATTTATTTTGTTTCCTACACAGCGAAGCTGCGTCAAGTGTTGCAGAAAAATGCATTAGGGCTTCGTTTATTGAAAAATATTGAAAATATTGACGTAACAGCACAAAATGCAGATTGTGATATTGATATGCCGTTGTTTTCATTTCATTCAGAAGATCGCCAATGAGGTGAAAAAAAAATTGATGTATTATCATTCCTGACAATCATTATGATTTTAGTCATCTCTGACAAAGTTTGACATACATATATTAGTCATTGGATAGATCTGAACCGATATGAAATGTTATCGTCAAAAAAAGTTGATCATAAAAAAGGGAAATATATTTTTTAGGTCAGAAAGACAGTTACGAAGTTTGGTACACATCATTAATTGTAAAGTCGGCTGACATTTACCTTGCGCTTATTACACTCACTGGCTAATCTACGTAATTTGCTGCATTGTTGAGAGCACAACACATAACTCGGCCGGCAGTTAGGCGTATTCGTATTTTGTTAAAATGAAAGAAAAAAAAAAACAATGAAAAAATCGAGAGAAGTCGAGGAGGGAAGGGGAGCTAGCGCAGGCAGTGTGTATATAAAGAGCGCTAACAATCGAATCGAGGGGACTGTCGAGGTTTAGGTTCCTTGTAGCTTGTGATTGAGTTTACACGCGCGCAGCTCGTCGCATCTTGCGTGCAAAATTGGCTCGTCGCCACGTGCTGACTTGATTGATTAAATGTTGTGTAACGCGTTGTTAAACCGCAGCGGGTGGATGAAGTATGCTACAATACGTTCACGCGACTTCACAGAGATGGCCACTCGATCGTCGCCGTCGTCGAGTAGTGCGCTGCCGATCCGAAGGTAATATTCATAAGTTGGATTTATCTGCACGTATACGTGATTAGTTCAATCATTTTTATCAGGTAGAAGATACTATCTATACATTGTAATAAAAATGCTGAAAAAATTTAGTGTCGACTTTTATAATTGTTCAATTTTCATTAACGTATCTTGAAGACGTGTTTTGAATTAAGCATATGTATTTCAAGATATTTCGAGAATGGATTTCTTAATTTTTACATTTTAATATGGAAAATTTGAACGCCATTTGTGTAAATTTAGATTCAATGGGCGACGCCTTCTACATTAAGAAAACTATGGAGTTGAAGGCCCCTTTAGAAAGATCATGGATCCGTGCTAAATGAGGTAAGTGTTTTATGACAAAATTATAGACAAACGAAAAGATGGATACAATAACTATTTATTCTATGAATTGTATAAAATATAATGTAAGTAAGATTTAAAAATATGTTAATTGCATTTCATTTAAACTAATATCACGTGATTATTATATGTATATCTGAATATGAGATAGTTGTAAATATAAACTACTAGTCATGTAAGCTATAAGTCACAAAAATTATTGACCAATAATGTTATCTATCGAGTAAAGTAAAATAGTAGAAGGTAATATCGTGAAATTATATAAGAAACACTGATGTATATTGTTCAAACGCGATGTCAATAGAACTCGTTTTAGTAACTTTACAATTCGTGAGAGAAGTTACCTTTCAAAATGGTATCAAAGTGGTCGAGTATGAGATAGTTTCGAGCTAGAATTTTACAATTGTTGTATTCACTCTTGTTTCAACATTCATTTAAAATTTCAAATAAATTAAAAACGGTTGTCCATCCATTATACCACTTTGAACTGACCAGTGATTTAGTGAATAAGTGTTGTGTTATTCGTGTAAAAAATATAAGCTACGTATATTATACCTAGAAAGTGATGTACAAATTACAATTTTGCAAAATTTTTTTTGACTATTGCAAAATGCTGCTATATTGTTATAAAGCAACATTCATCGAAACGTTAATAATAAATCGCAAGGAATGCCCACATCGAAAATACTTATCAAATCAAGCCGTTGATTTTAAGCTTTTAAATTTTTAAACCTAAGAGAAGAAAATAAAAAGCGTATAATTCGATCATCGTATCTTGCAGTCGGAATCGGTCCAACGCCACGTGCTGATTTGATTAATTAAACAATTTGTAATATGCTACAGTGCTTGTGCAACTTCGCAAAGATTAAGACTTGATCATGTCATTACATGAACTCTAGTCTTCGAAATTGATCACCGCTTTCAATTAATTTTGAATTTCATTTTTAATATACAAAAAAATACATGAACATATTCTCTAACAATGAATTGAATAGTACCAAAACATTACTTTTTCCTGTAGTAATAATATTATTCATGTTACTCAGGATCAGACTATTCGGTGGTACAAAAATTACCAAGGATAATACATTGCTATTTCTCATTTATTATATGACCTAACAACTTGAAGTATATGTTTCTTATTGTGATCGATCTTTTTCAACTAATGCTAAGCTAAATAATTGTTATACTTGAAAATAAAGAAATATAAAAATCTTCGATTTAGTTTTAACCTACACCATTTAGAAATTGACAAAGATTGCGTAGAAAAAATTTTGTTGAATAAAAACATAAACATCAGAATATTCACTGACTCACAGAGTGCCTTGGAAGCCTTTCACAGTGGTGGATCTTCATTCTTCGTTTATATTTCCTATCATGCTCCAAATCAGAATTAAATTACTTTATTACATAAAGCATGATAAAATGATACTACTAATATGGATTCCATCTCAGGCAATGAGATTGCTGATGAAAATAGAAAACAAACAGCCAAGTGCTGCTTTCGGCTGAATGTTGAACGACCTTACGTGATTTGCTTAGTATTCTTAAAGCTGAATGCTACTTTGAATTTTTTAAATTAGTTATTGAAATTTTATATAAATATATATTCATTAGTAACTGTTGTATCAAGCTTTTTGTATTACGCGCCTTTGCGTAGCGCTACTGCCTTGGTGTGTGTTCCGAATGGAATTTTGTCCCTAAAGTTGGTTGCATTGGTCAACGTTGCTATAATAACCATGTATACTTGTTAAAACTTGCACCGCCGATTAACTAATTCGATTCTGTTTTCTTAATTTATTAATTGTTAATTATTTTGTGATTACAATGGCAATGAGCCTTACAACCACGATCATTTTCATCATCAATATCTGCAGATTCACTATCACTACTTGAAGATGATGCAATATTTTCGAATATCCCAATAATTATGGCATTTGGTGCTTCCATTACTCTTTTTCAAAATTAATTCAACTCACTCAGTACTATTTATTTGTGGATATACAGTTCAAACTGCAATCATCATCCAGGCAATGACGAACACCATTTTTCGTATATGTAGCCAACTTTACGACCAAAATTTTAAGGGGACCTCCATTCGGTATTGTGACTAGATATTGTTAAAAGTTTCTACTAATATAAACCGCACTATACTATATTGAACAAGAATTTGTCTAACGCGCAAAAGAATTTATCGACATATCTTCTTCAGACATGTTTACTCGTACATATATATATATATATATATATATATATATATATATATATATATATATATATATATATATATTCGTATTTTCTGCATCATGACTATCGTGATTGGTTCATTCGTTGTATTCTCATATCTGTATGTATTATCAATACTCCAATCAGCAATAAAAATAGATGTTTTGCGCCCATAAGTATTAATATAATAAACTTGTTATCTAAATATAATAATGAAATTGTATCTAATAATTTCTCATCTACATGTGAAAAATAATGCATATTGATCATCCACAAACAATGATATTCTGAACAGAATTGTAGTTAATGAAATTAAAATTATTATTACAGAAGTAGGCAAATAGCTTTAAAAATAATTAGATAAGATTCGAAAGTGGACGCAAAGATTACGACGTAAGAATGATTATAGATAATAAGTCAGAGGTCTTTACACTGTCTTTTCATTTGAAGTAGAAAGCTATCAGACTATAAATAATATTCAAATATTTTCATCGATAAAACAACCACTGTTAAGTTAAACGATTTATTTTTTGCATTATAAATAAATCTCATTGAACTGGTCATTGATAAGTGCGTTAAATAATATAAAAATTTGTTCTCTATTATGATGTTATATTTTACATCTTTATATAATAACAATATTTATTGTGTAAATTAACGAAATGATATTAGAATTTGTAGAAGGCAATTCATTATTCTCTACGTATTATTTTTGATTTAGTTTAGTATCAAATATTTACGAAATAAACACCTGCACACACTTTTACCTTGAATTTACGAAAACCACAAAATTCCTATCATAATTTTACAATAGAGCTATTATTCAAATTGAACGAGCTTAAAAATATAAAAAAATTAATAATAAAAATTTGAAATTAAATTAAATATACTCAAATTTAACCATTATATGACCAACTTACGAAATGATTAATTTATACATATTGCTTACGCATCCCAACTAATTTAACGATAATATTTTAGAGCCAGTGTAACGATAAACCGTAAATACTTCTGATAATTGTAATAAAAAGATAAGATATTTTATCTCGTCGCAATTTATTACAAAAAAAATTAAAGTTTCATGTTCGCACATTTTTGCATTGTCATTTTTCATAAATAGTAACAAGTTTTCAGAAATAAGTACGCCATGTAAAATATAATAGTTGATGAGTGTTATTTTTCCTGGATCAAACGCGATATTTTATGCGTCGTGGCGAAGTTCTACTAAAACACGCTATCAAAAAAGTTTAAGTTAAATATTGTTACTTTGCGAGAAATAAAATTGAATTGAATCGAACATATAATGAGTTAATAGTTTCGATAAAACTCTGCCATGCGAGATGTCCAGTTGTCAGTGAACGTTTTTAAGTTCATAAAAATCGACCAAAAATATTGATTGACGCGCTCTGTGTTATCGCATCGATGAGAGCTATTTCAGTCAAAACAATTCTACAATTTCAAATTTAAAAGTGATAATAAACGAGAATATATCTCAATGTTTGTATTTCGTGTATATTCGAAACAAATAAATAAATGATACGAAACTAATATTTTAAAAACGAAATAATATATTGTTTGCGTGTAGATATAACTCCTACGTCGCAGTAAAGAAAAGTTCGTAATGCGCAGTTGCAATAGTTAATTTTAATTATTGTCACACACTACTGATGCAAATTTCCAAGAATGTTAAAGCGACAGTGTAATTTACCGGTATATATCGATTAATCGGAATAGCGCGTGCGGTGCAGGGAACGCGAGGGAACTTCGCGGAAAATCATTTTCTTTCTTTGTTGCCCTCATTCATGATTGCGTATACTCCGTCCTGTTTGCGCGCTCTTTCCTCGGCTGGTGTGTCTGGTTTGTAACGGACGTAGTTGTGAGAGAGACAGACAGAGAGAGAGAGAGAGAGAGAGAGAGAGAGAGAGAGAGAGAGAGAGAGAGACAGACAGACAGAGCGAGAGAGTATAAAAGGCAAGCTTGAGGCCGCCATAGTGAGCATTGAAGTATTCGTCTGTGGCCGTAGCGCGTACATCATGTGCAGACGACACATAGTATAAAACGAGGAGAGGAGCTCGACCAAAGTAAACCAATAAAACCAGCTGACAGTAACAGCGCAGTTAGACGGCTTCGAGATAGTGGTGCGCATTCATCGAAAAGTGAGGTTAAGTCTTTGGCAGAACCAAGTCGAAGGTAGCATTCTCGAACAGATAGTCTGAAATTGCCAGGCAAAGTGCGTAGGTGTGTTGCAATGTCAAGAGTGTTGTGAGATTGAATGGACAGTAAGCACTTGGACTTTAATCACGTGCTATTGAAAGAGGTATTATCTGTCAAGGCAGAGCTAGCGCGCTATCAACAGTGTGTATGAAGGAGAAGGCGGGATCAAGCTCGCGGGCTCAACACTGGCCGGCTAGCGAGATGAAATAATAAGCGAGGCGTGCTCTTCTCGCACAGAAATCGCTTATCCTTGTCGTCGGCGGCTTAAGTTCGAGCGACCGAACTCAGTCCTCAGTGTAGGCTAGTCGGTCCTTGAGTCGTCGCGCGTTCTTTCTACGACGGATCATCGTCGTTGCGCTATCTCTCGCAATTATTTGCACTCTCTCGTGCAAGAGTGCGTGTCGTCGTCGCTGACCATTTTGTTATACGCGCTCTCTCGGGCAGTTGCCATTTGGCTTTGTAGGCGGCAATTTTTTTGTTTTTGTCGGCACTGTGACGTGGTGCCCTCACTCGCGCTTGACCCGGGGGTGAGGGAATCCATATTTAGCTACGTCAAGAGACAAAGACGGAGCAAGTAGGCACATTGTTGTTGTTGCCGGCAGCATTCTCAACACGCTCACCAACGCTCGATTTTTCGAAAAAGTTTTCAATTTCAAGTTAGCGAATAAGCGGTTACAGGAAGAACGTCAAGATAATCAATGAGAGGCTTAATGTTCGTTGCACGATTGCCTGCTGGTATCAAATACGAGTTCAGCACATCATCGGAGATACGATCGAACAAATTTGCTGCTGTTGCATCTGTGCTTTCACAGACGACGTGATTCTGCGATTCACTCGAGGGGTATACATTGTCGCCTCTTTCGGACATTTCTGTGCGTGCAAAGATAAGACGGCAAATATTCGCCGATAAGCAAGATTATAAAGCAGCGGCTAAGTAATCTAGATTAGAGAAAAGAAAGTCGTCGGGCAAAGTGTCAATTGGCCTTTCTATCTCTCTGTGTGTGCACAAGGAACGTAAAAAAGAAGACGAGAATAGAATGGATCCGGTAAATAGTTGCACTAGCAACTGCACGAGATTTAGGTTGGGCTTTTTCGAGCACGACTGGAGCAATGAAGCCCCATGGGATATCCTCAGCAATTATTTCGACTATCAACCCTGGTTGTTTTCATTGCTTGGCAGCGTGATGGTTGGACTCTCTGGGGTATTTCCACTCTTGGTTATACCTATCGACGAGGCTGCCGATCTCAAACACGGAGGTATACGATTTTTATCGAGCTTTAAAATTATTTTAAAAATTATTTAGTCAGCCGGCTTTGTACTTTGCAAGTACTATCATTAACATTCTTAGTCATTTTTCACCTTTCAAAAACGATGCTTCAGAAGCCTATTGAGTTGCAATCGACAGTTTAAAAAAATGGTTTTTACATAGTTGTGTCTGAAACGCGATGAGAATTTTATCATTTCAGAGCAACTATCCAAATAAAATGTCAGTTACTGATTTGTGTTTCGTCCTGTTCATAATATTTTTTCATTGATATATATATCAATATTGTAATAAGTGATACATAGCGTTCATCCATTCAGTGACTCGGGTACATCAATGTTTATATGAAACATGAGTATATTGATCATAACTTTAAGAATAATTTTATTACGATAGATCGGCATTGGTTGCTCAAAACATCGCGTGGTTCCATGAAAAGTCGATATTCAGAAAATAGTTAAATTAAATTTTCTCACATCGTATTACTTGTGATTTAATTAGATATAAAACGCTGGTTGTTTACATGATTAAAATTATTCGGCATGGACTGAATTGGAAATATATGTTTACTAGTTTATAAATTATCGTGTGGCGTGGTTTACATTAAACCGCATGTAACGTTCTCCTTCTTATTTTATGACTTGAGCGATAAAGTTTACGAGTTAGCGAACGATGTTGCAATCAGAAGTTTGACTGCTTTCTACAAACATGAAATTTACATGACAATGAACTTTTATATGTTATTTGAAAAGTTATAGATAAATAATATTTTGCATTCGATAGCTTAGAATATCACTGTTATTCATCATACATCCGTAGAAAAATATTATTACTTACATTATGTTCTTTCTATATCTCGCATAACAAGTGCGTAACAATGCATTTATGGCAGAGACAAACGTCATATTAGTTGGAAAGACACATATGTACGTTCATCTATAAGCTAGCAATTTTTAAATAAACCAAAGGTTTTATCAAAGCCTTCCATTGTCAAGAATACTTCAATACGGTCACCTTTTACTTTAGAAAATATCTGCATCTTCAACTCATCGTTTCGCACTATTTCTGTCAACAAAGCCAACTTTTTCTGTAAACGCGCACGTAAAAGACTACGTTGTCAAAGCGTACTCAAAACTATACTCTAATTACACGTCTAATCGAAGTACTACAATCGTTGTCATTCTAATTACAATGCGCATAAATTATTTGCACTAGCAATCAAATTGTGCAGTCCCTTTTCAAATAGCTGTACAAACTAAAACGAACCGACATCCTATGCCCGTTTCGATCAATATTAAACGACTGCACGTGGTTAACAATAAAAAGAAATATCGCAGTAGACAGCTGGCTCTGTATAAATCAATCACCAGTATACAATGGACGGTTCATTGTTTACATTGATTGTTATGTCACGCGAATTGTTTATACGTCTGGCACTCGAATTAATAACTGGCGAGCGATGATTATATGCCAAATGCCATTTTGTATTGCTGAGTTCAATCTTATGCGAATCAGCCACGACAGTTTGCGTGCTTCGTGCGTTTTTGTGTTCTGTAGATTTTGACAGTATGATGTGATGTATAGGTACTGTGATCGTGTTGGGGATAGACGATCCGTCTCACGGCCACGATCAGCCACTCGCTATCATACGGCTGTACTCGATCGATGAATGCGCCGGCCTCTTTTTCCACTCGGTCGACTTGCTATTACACTTTGGATTCTGCAAACGAACTGTTCGATTGTAAACTACTCGCGGCGTTCAGTCATTTCAAGTTGTCACTTTATCGTCACGCTCACGTAAACGTCTAGCGTGTCACTTGATTTATTAGAATGTTACTGTTTCTTTCTTCTTTTTCCGAGGCTTTGTAATACCAGGAAACGGAAAAGTACGTTTGTCGGAACGATTGAAATTTATTGTTCAGTGCGATGTCAGCGACAAGCAGCGTAATTTCTTCGATAAAAGTGGCTATACAACATATGCCAAAGTGCTCGGAAGCACGCCTACTGTATAAAAAAAACTTAATTTCTTTGAAATAGACAATGATTAATTACGAAAGACAGTTCAATTAATTAACAGGAATGTGACTGACGTTAATTTTTATATCGTTTCCAGATGGATTTTTGACTAGTGATCAAAACAATGTATTTATCGATATAAAATTTATTGCAAGACCAAATTATTTTATTCAACTAATTGTATTTGGAAGAATAAACGCTCTTTTTCTTTGTGTAACGAAAGATTCGACCGAATTATCATTTTATGGTAGAAATAAAAAGCAATAAACAAAAACATAAAAACAAAGCACATGTCAAGTTAGCCAAGCAAACACGTTGATACAAAGTTTTGAATTAAACGTAATTTTTTCAATCAGATGACGATTAATTTTGGCTAAAAATACATTATAGATATTGCAATAGGCGTCGAGAGACTATAAATAAAAAAAATGAATTGAGGAGAAAAAAATGGTCGCGCACATGGAATGTTCGAGAGAAGGTTCTCTCAATATAGTAACTGCAGTTCGGAGGCCACGTGCTCGTGCCGCAGCAGGCTCAGCATCTCACTATATATAACTGACAGCGTATAGATGCTAAGATGCATCTTCTCTGCGCGTGTGTATGTGCAAAAGGGAAAGTTGTGCAAATGTCAAGCTGTAAGGATCGCGAGTGCATCGAACGCCACGGAATTTCTACGATTCGATCGCTCGCTCGCTCGCAAAACAGACGAACGTTCGTTTATATATTCTGCAAGAGAGGCTGCTGCTGCAATTCATTTTATCGCTTGTAAACTTGACGTGTCTCGTTGTTGTTTTTACCAACTTTGAAAAGGCAGAGATTCTGTGTTCGACCTCAATTTTTTTATACGATATTCTTAATTTATGATCATTTTCGTTGTCATGAAATTTATTTGCATACTATTCCGCATTGTATTCTACACTTCGTGACAGAACATGTCTGCGGTACTTTCATTAGGCACATTTAAATTGCAATTCGACGGCAGCTCGTGGTCGGAAATAAAGTATCGGCAAATCTCATTTCTCAGCGATACGCGTACGTACAAAGTATCATCGATTTTTAAATTTGATTTTCATCGCCTTTCTCTCTTTCTCACTTTCAATTTCACGGCCGAAAGGATAATTTTATTTGCTTTAACAATCGCATTGAAGTTTTTCAGTGAAAGACCCGTTTAATCTCGCGATATAGAGGAGTACGCGTCGTTTGTAATAACGGACACAATGTATAAAAAACAGAAGCACTTTGTGCTCCCAATGACAATATCTTTTCGCGAGCCTGTTGACAAGATAATCATCGAGCGAAAACTTTGTATCTCAGATAGTGTCATTTTTTGCGCAGTCGCACGTGTGCACCTGTGCTGTCCTGTAACCAAGTGTATGCAGTTATCTGGTTATTCTCACTATCAGATTGTAACTTTTTGAAAACTTTGATAAGAACAAAATGAGATACAAAATCGCAATTGAAACTTTCTCCGAAACTTATTAGCTACGTGTTCGTAGCATTAAGTAACTGCACGAGACTAGTCTCGGATAAAACTCATTTCAAATTTACGATTATTACGACATTGCATTATTGAAGTTGTTGCGTTTATAATGCACTCAGGTAGCTCTTAACCTTGTTAGATTTTCCGAAGGCTCTCTATAGCGGTAGAATCAATTGCATATACTCAAGGCCTTGTTATCAATGTCTTCCTGAATTTCAACTGTTGATAAGAATAACACTCGTATTACCATTGTAGTCTGATTTCCCTCGCATCAAAAAAAAAAATATTCAAAACATAATTCGATACCCTTATGTCCATTTTTCAACAACATTTACTTGTAGTTATCACGCAGATAATGGGTAACGAGTCTCGGTTCCGAAAACTATCTGAGACACATTGAAATTTGCAATTGACTGCACGAAACACGATTTTTTTCAGTTCCTTGCTTCCAGCGTTCATTTTACAGGGACCGAGAAATGCTGGTAGCGTCGTAAATCTGGATGAAGGTTCTGTTTTGCACGGTCGCGGATTTTCCAGTCTGCGCCACAGATGTCGGCCAGGCGCGCACAACATTTTTTCTTAAGCCCCTTTAGACTTTCTTTTACTTACCTTTTAAACAATAGCGACAACTGAGGGAGTTCAGACGTGCAGAGACGAACACAAACGTAATTACATCTCGGTTTTTAAGTCACGGCTGACCTTTCCGGACGGACCTAATTTATGGACCCTACGGGTGCGCTTTTCTCTGCTTTTCTCTTTTTCTTGCTTCTCGCGTACTAAGACGCTACTACTGTGCCTTGATGAGGAGAATGAAGAGTGACAAACAACCATCGCCGGTTTAACTCCCGAGACAACAGTAATCTTGTAACGGGCTTTGTCTGTGCACGTCACAACTTTTTAACTATTAAATTAATGTACATTTTAAAATTTTTAATTGGAGTTATTTATTCAGCCTCTTCAGGAATAAACTCCTATAACCTAACAGGCAAAGTTTTGTTTCATGGCGGCCACGGGCAACAACGTTGTTTATAAGAGCCCATGTTTTAATCGAGTGCGGTGCTACTACCTCCTTCCTCCGTATCCTCGGTCCTTGTTATATTAATCGAAAACCAAATTAGAAACCCTATTGAATTTCTCTCGGAAGATTGGATGTGAAGATAAGCAGTTTCTAAAATTTATAATTTAGTCGTAATCGGGAAAACTTTAAATCCAATATCTGAAAACGTAAAAATGTTTAATTTCTTATAAATTTTGCACGAATGCACTAATGCACATTGTAAGAAATTACATGTCATTATACTTTTTTCTTTTTCATCTGCAAATGGCGCTGATGAAAAGTATAAAATAAATTTTAAAAATATACTGTTCCCACGTAAAACGATCCCAGGAATTGAAAGGTGCTTTTAGTTTAACGATTGAAGATATAAATAGAATTAGAAGTTTTAAGCGTTATCTATAAGCGACAATTAGAAGCAGACGCGGTTGAAAAATTTTCAGGTATTCCAGGTTCTCACTAGCGATACTCAGACAAGCCGGATTATTGGAAATGTAAGAAAGTTAGAAAATGCAAAGTGTGAGCAAGTGTGGACCTATCGCGTCGGCGGACCAAGCAAGAGATGCGCACTCGAGACAAGAAGATGAAGAAGAAGAAGAAGAAGAAGAAGAAGAAGAAGGAGACAAAGAAGAAGAAACAGGCCGTTTGATGCTGCGCGATCATTTGCGTCAATCAAGCACGAGGACAAGAGGAGAGCAGTCGAGCGAAATGTCGTCGCGGCGCATAAGAAAGGGAGACATTGTCGCTCACTTAGAGTTTTGTGCGCGCGCAAGAGAGACAATCGCGAATTCTTTTTTTTTTCCACGAATGGCCGCTTGCCACGCACGGATATTCCTTTTCGTCGCGCCAACGGAAGCGCGTGCGAAAAGCTCAGTGAGCGAGGCTGCGCTTACAAGCAATAGAATGTCCAGTCGCTCGCTCTCCTCGCCGCTGCAGCGGCTGAGCGTTCGCTTTCAACTGCGCAGCGGCATAAGCAATGTAGGCGCGTGCGTGCGTGCGTGCGTGCGCCCGTTGACCTGTACTCTTGCGCTTGTATCGTATTTACATAACTTGCTGAGCTTTGCGAGGTTGTTTTCCCCGCGTTAACGGCTACTGACTTCGTCCGCGAAAAAGCCACGGGCTCTTTCAGAAAGAAATTAAACGTCGTAATATTATCCATGTCCGTACTTCGCTTGCTGAATAATAATTGCTTCGGATACCAGCAGCTGCAAGCGAGCAAGCTCAAGAGACAGACAGGATGAGATAAAAGCGAAATATGAAGAAAACGCCTGCAATGACTCGTCTCCGCTCCATTTGCGCTAAAATGCGATTTCCTTGTGCCGACAATAATTTTCCACCAATATTAGAAGATCTGATACATTCTCTGGTAAAAGCTACACGAAGGGAGGCAAAAAAAATGAAAAATGTAAAACCGCTGTGATGCATACAGGAAATGCTTGCAAATTGGTGCGCGTCACTGATAAAGCTCGCGTCCCTCCGTTTTCTTTGTTTGTCTGTAATTTATTATTCTTCGCGTTCGACGATTAAAACAATGTCCGTACAACCGCAAGTCTGTCGTGTGTTCTATTTCTTGACACATCAACGCGTCTGAAAAGCCTTCTTTGTTTCAAACAGCAGCAGACTCGTTTTATTCATCGTCACAATATTTATGCGATACGTTGAATCGTGTGAATCATTCCACGCGTGATGGTGCATGCACAATCGCGTTTTTATAAATAAACTGTATGCGAACGGATGCCACTGTAAGTCATGAATAACCAGTGTAAATGGCCGGTGTAGTCAATAAATAGAGTCACTGCAAAAATCCTCAGTCGCCGTAATTTTGTCCTTCATATTATCGTGAACGTCCTTTATATTTCTCTGAGATCAACGATTTCGTATTCCTTCGAGGTAGAAAACAATTATCGAATTACGTAATATTGCGATAAGTAAGAGGTGCTCGATATATTAGTTTAACAGTATTCAAATAATGCAAACACGAATGCTTCCGAGCGTAATATTAAAGCACCGTGAATTACTCGCAGGGCAAAAGAGGCTTATAATGAAATTTCAACTGGCCGCAGCATCCGCTTCTATAAGCGACGAGTACAAAAGCAGATCAAGGACTGACACAATACGTGTACGGTTAAAGACTACCAGTGCTTCATCATTCATTTTCAATGGATCGCGGACCTGCATGATATTCCGAAACAATTGATTATGCATATGCATGAACTTTCTAATGCAAAAAATGCAAACTCGTATTTTTTTAAGGCAATAATAAACAGCGATCGATATAAGACAGACACAAATTGTAAAACTGTCCGATACGAAATAGAATTTTATATTAATTTAAATTGAAATTGTACGCTTTTATGCTAGAATTAATCAAAACAAACAACTGTCTTATTTGCCTTATCATCAAGCTCATACTACTCCTTCATACTCATATCATGCTTGAATAATGTAAATAACTGCATTAATAATACTTTGTAAACCACAATTCATAACTCTGTTTTATGAATTAGGCTGTTTTATTGCAGCTAGAAAGTTTTTTTCCATAACCAAGAATTTCCGATAATGTCATTGTAACGTTGTAATAAACCGATATGAAACGGTACGGCCCAAGTTGTAAAAAAAATTTTATAACACATTTTCAATGCGCTTTTGTTTTTGTAAGTAGTTTTTTTATAAAGTAATTTTCTCATCCATCATTTGTTTTTCTACATTGCAGATGGTGCTAAAACTTTGAAAATTCTGTTGAGCTTTGCTGTTGGCGGTCTTCTTGGCGATGTTTTCCTACATTTATTACCAGAAGCATGGGAAAATCATTCTTTAGCAAATAAAGGTAATTTATAGTATTAAAAAAAAAATACTTTTTATAGCTTTAATTTTGTTCTACAAATAAGTTTTCGAAAGCTTCTACAAATTAATTAGCATAGGTTTTTTTCAAAAGCATATGACTCATGATTTCATATGATTATAAAAGCATGCTCGTTCAACAAAAACTTATTTGCATTACTATTTTTATAGAAATCTGGTGTTAAATAAAAACAATTCTCTGCGATATCCTACTTAGTGAGCTTTAATCCATGAAATATTTAATTATTATAAACTATCATACTTGTTTAGGAAATAGTAGCAGCGGTGTAAACCATGATTCTATGAGCTGCGGACTTTGGGTTCTATGTGGATTTCTCGTTTTCATTATTGCGGAGAAAATGTTCAGTTCTTGTCAGGGTTCTGACGAGGATGAATTCATGAACTCCGAGGAAGATATTGCCGCAGCTGAAAACAACAATTATAGCGAAATTGACTTGAAATACGATCTTGTCGGCAATCAAATGACGAAACTCAACGGCTTCAAGAAGAATCAACAACTGAACAACGTAAAAAATGGTCTCTGTAATGTCGAAGTTACAAAGATCAATGGATTTAAGAAAGATCAACAGCTGAATGGATTAAAAAGCAGTCTCATTAACGGCAATATAACAAAGTTCACCGATGTCCAAAAACATGAGCAGCCAAACGGTTTCAAGAAGTCAACGAATGGCACCAAAATTGGTAATGGATACATCAATGGTTTTTCGAAAATCAGGGGTGTAAAACCAAAATCAAATGGCTTCTGCACTTTAGATTCGCCAAACGCACATGGTTAGATTCATTTCATTCTTAATTTCTACTGAGTTTTAATGATAATCTTTCAAAATTTGTGAATTATGCATGAGAAAGTCAATACTGAACATTTTTGAAAAATTTTGAAGTTGCTCTTGTAAATGTACATGTTTTTAAAATATTTACTGCATTGTAGTTTTTAAGAATATTAATAATGTTTTATTATCATAATCAAATTTATGCGATTTATTTATTATGTAGTAACTCAATTTTATTCTCTTAATCTGTAGCACAACAATTGGTGAAGAATAAAGGTGCTGAAAAGCATATGAAAGAAAAGCCAAGACACATTGCAGGCTACCTCAATCTCATCGCTAATTGCGTTGATAACTTTACACATGGGCTTGCTGTTGGCGGTTCATTTTTGGTATCCTTTCGTCTAGGCGCTCTAACGACATTTGCTATTTTGATTCATGAAATACCTCATGAAATTGGTGACTTTGCGATTCTTCTTAAAAGTGGATTCAATCGGTGGGATGCTGCAAAAGCCCAATTAATGACTGCAACCGGAGGCATTTGCGGGGCCCTAATTGCAGTTATTTTTAGTGGTGATGCTGTTGGTAGGTATAATAACCATGCAATGACGTCATTTTTAATTTTTGGCAATTAATAATACTGTTCTTGTTCCTTGCAGAGTCGAAGACAAGTTGGATTCTTCCATTTACTGCAGGTGGTTTTCTACACATTGGTTTGGTAACAGTTTTGCCAGAACTACTCAAAGAAACTGATCCGTGGGAATCATTAAAGCAAATTGGCGCCTTACTTACTGGGATTGTAGTGATGGCAATTTTAACAATCATGTGTGATTAATGCATATTGTCTTCGACGTTTCAGCGAGTAAAGTTCGAAGCGGATTCTTACAATGCTTCGATTCAAAGGAAAGAAACGTTTGTTAGAAAGTATGATAAGTGCACTCACTTTGTGTATATCTATTTTTTTCTTTCAACCTCGCAACTTGCTTTCTTTTCTATAACAGAGTGAATAGCATTCATCATATTGTATGGCTTTCAGCAAAGTTTTCTTTCTTTGTGATTTATTAAACAGATCGATTATTATGTAAATAAGTCTACTTTTTTTAAATCTTTAGTACGATAATTAGAGTAGTTTCATTCCAAATGAAAATTTGTCTAAACTAAATATTTTTTTACGCAGATGCGTCTGACCAAAATGTAACTTGGTGAGAGGATAGCGTCGCTTCCTTTTCAGAAGCTCAAAAGATTGATCGTAGGATCATTAATACGACGATCAAGCAAAATCAGTATTGATGTAACATTATTCGATCAAAGTTGAGAAGAAACAAACCATTTTTTTGTTTTTGATAATATTTTCATTATTGCAAGTTGTAACATTTTAATTGACGTAGTGTTTATATCTTTTGAACTCGTGTATTCCACGAGTCACGAAAAAAATTTGAGGAACAAAAAGTCTTGTATACAAGTTCCTAAAATCGTTGTAAATAAGACTCTGGGCTCCAAAAGCCCTCTGCGTTGAAAAAATAATCTGTTGTTTATGATTCCTGCTGGAAGGGGAATTAGAATGAGAAAGTCACAATGATTATCAATTTTATTGTTTTTTTTATTGAATAATATTGTTTTCAAAGCCCATAATTATTTCGGCAGATACCTAGTTAGAAAATTATATATTTTTTTAAAAACGCAGTAACAATAAAAAAAAATTGGTAACTCCATTTACATAGATTGTATAATCGATCTTTGTACTTAACAAGCTGAGAACAATGTTCTGTTTTCCAATGTTGAGAGAATAAGTTTTGTCATAATAGTCGACAAATTACAACGTGTCCTCACATTTTGTAAATAAACTACAATATTCCATACATACTGTTTTTAAATTGATTTTATCTCTGGAACCCTGTTACCATTGTATAACAAATTTTAAGACTGAAAAAAATTTTATTTGATTACTTGGTAAAGAAAAATAAATGAATTTTTCAACAAATGGAATAATGTTAAGAAAATACTCAATGCATTTATTTACAAAATATTTTATTGCAATATTTATATTCAACAGTTTATAAACTTATATTAATTACAACGTCTCGATAAATCACGAGTACTTTCAGTCTATCAGACTAGTAATAGAAAATTTACAATTGCATCTATCTGTCAACAAAAAATAACCTCACTTGAAATAGATGTTATTAATGATATATGCCTAATGGCTGTGATTAAGTACAACTTTGTCAAGTGCTATAATTCATCGTGACGTAGTTTTGACAATATATTTTCTATTTCTTCTAAAGATTCCAAATGTTCAGTATTTAAATTTTCATCATCTTCATTTACGTTTGGGAAATCACGATATTTGATTAACATTTTTTTTACTTCCGAAGAAAGTGCATATTCCTTATTCAAAATTTCTTTTTTGCAAACAGAATGTAATGTTATTATACTTTCATAAATTACTTCAAAAAAGTCATCAACATCTGAATTTGTCTTCAGGCTATTAATTGCTAAATCAATTAAGTTCTGACAATATTCTTGCATTACTAGTTTATGCTCTAAATTTGTAGATTCATATTCTTTCAGTTTTTGAATCCTCATTAGGTTGTCACGATTTTCATCTAAATTTTGTCTTTCTATTATTAAATCATTGACTAAGTTCATAACTCTTGCTTGAACTTGAAAATGTCCATCTGCTAAAATTTTTCCAAATATTTCTAAACCTCCATTATCAACTAAAGCTTTTTGAGCTGCAGGAAAATGTCTTACAAGAGCCCCAAGGGCAAATAAGCATCTAGCTTTAACTACAACTACATTATTTACAGTCAGTAAATGTAAAATTTTTTGGATAAAGTCATTTTCTAGTGCCTTTAATTGAACTCTAGGATTAGACTGAACTGCTGCACCCAAGAGTTTCAATGCCTCTGCTTTAATTTCAGGATTTGTTGAATTCAAACAAGGAGAAATAATTTTTGACATTCTGAACAAGAAAATAGAAATACTTTACTATTTTTTAATTTATTACTTATTTAAAAGATTGGTTATTAAAGATTTGTATATTTTTACTCACCCACCCATGTCAGTAAATGTTCGAGCATTATCTATTTGATGAATGAGATATTCTATATTATTGAGAATTTCCATGACGTCTTCCACTTTTGCTGAATCAAGATTCTCTGTTAAAATAAATTCTCTTTGAGATTCGAATTGACTAAATAGGCCATTAAGTATTTGAGAATCTGTAGAAACATTCATGTTTAATGCTTCCAGTTCTTCTTTTAACTCTACATAGCTTCTAAATTTTTTTCTTCTCTCTGGTTGAGTTGCTTCAGCATTCTGATTTAAAAATTTTTACATTAAACTTTATCAAAAGTATTAAAAATGAATAAGATATATGTAAATATATATAACTCACGTTTGAATTTGATGAATCATCTGACTTGATTCTTTTAAGCATCGCTTTCAATTCATCAATTGGAATTTTCATTTTATTTGTTGCTTCATCTTTATTTAATAAATGATTTTCTTCATCTGTTAATGATTTTTCAGGATGTAATGTCAAAGAATTTTGTTGTGAACTGTTAAGATTATCCTCAGAACTTTTTTCTTTGTCATTATCATCATCCATCAATTTAGCTTCTATTACTCCTGTTTGCAAATTATGTCGTATGTGCAAACCTTGAGGTATTGAAATTCCTAAAATATTATTATAATAATATTGAGTATTGAAATAGATTAATAAGTATGTATTAATTTTACATGATAAATATATATTGATACAAAAAATAAATAATTTATACAATAAAAGTTTTGATTTCTTCTTTTAAGACTTCTTAAATAATGCAGTTCAAATAATAAAAAATAAATATGATCTTGTAAAAATAATTATTTATTTTAATGAAAAGAACATAAACCAACCTTTTTTAACTGTTTGCCATTCCTTGGTAGGTACAAAAACACTATCGTTTTTGGTAGTTTCAGTGGCATTTACAATTATAGTGCAGAAAATTACAAGCAGGAGAGTGATAACATAACGCATACTGGTATTGCTGTTGAGCTACGTTGCAGCAAAAGTGAAAGCGTCAATAAATATTATACTTTTGTAAAGCCGGAGAGAATTTATAACAAAATGTTAATTAATCTAGTTTGTCGACTTTTCATTAAATTGAAACTAATTTTCACTGTTGAGTTTCCTTTTTATTTCTAAGTAAATATCGTGGCTTGTAATATTTACATTTCTGTCGTACAACCGCTGCTACTTGCTCCATATTTTATTAAAGTCCACTCTCGTAACCCGTAAGTTCTAGCACTAAACCACGCTTCACGCATGCTCAGTATGCCAATTTTCATCCAATGACGTGAACCACGGTGGCGTGTATAAGGTCTGTCTCTCCTACTTTTTCATTTTCTCTCTCCTCTCTGTCAACTGTCTGTTAAATCGTAACTCAACCTAATTATCAGTATTTTTTATTTAATGTTATTTTCTGTTCGTTGCAAGGAACACAAATACAGCAAGCTTTTGCATTCCATGTATTATACAATAACTCGTGTAATTTATAATTGGGAAGAGGATAGAGTACATTCACCCAACAGTTCTGCGGTCAGTAGTTTGAGGCCCTCGCCACATATGCGCATACGCGCGCGTACGAGGGCGTACAAACGCGTACAAATCGCTAAAAATTTTGATAATGTCAACAACAGAAAGTTACTACTATTCCTCGCATGCCCCAAACGAACACACTTACTCCCGGAACAAACGTATCATAACCTTCAATAATATAGCGTTACGATACGTTTGTTCCGGGAGTAAGTGTGTTCGTTTGGGGCATGCGAGGAATAGTAGTAACTTTCTGTTGTTGGCATTATCAAAATTTTTAGCGATTTGTACGCGTTTGTACGCCCTCGTACGCGCATATGTGGCGAGGGCCTTATATGTCAAATGATTATTTATATTGCGTATTACTATTCAAATACTCTTAAGAGTCATCCATAAAACAAATGTACTTAGACATATATTTATAGATCTTTTTAAATCTGATAAGGATTATTATTCGAAGTTACTTTATCATATAAAAGAGTTTAGGTAAACATCAATGTTTAAAATTTGCTATAAATAACTCAAAAAAGTCTTTTCAATATTTGATATAGCTTATAGATAAATTTTATAATTATTTTAATGTTGAAAATGCATTTCCAATACACTTTACTGTATATATCAACTTATGTAAACAGATTTGAAATTTCCCTTCATAGGCGCCATACCGTTTAGTTCCTGCCGTTGCTACAAGGTATCGCATCGTGCACTAAGCATCGCCAATATATAGCGACACCAAGCTAGTAGCCGCCTACCGCAGCTTGGCTTCGCGCGATGGGGCTTTCGTTTTCTGTATAGTTTAGCAGTCAGTCAACAGTATAACGACGTACAGTGTACGTGTAGGTGATGAGTGCGATGCTGTATATATAGCTAGCGTTGGGTAGATATTGCGTGTTGTATCATACGAGAATTAGTAAACATTCAACGAGGATACTGTAATTGAAAATGATATTTAATTAATAATTGCTAAAAAAATGTGGAACTCTTGGTTATAAAGTTACTGTACGGATGTTTTTGCCCTAAATTCACTTGTTTGGCTCACACGAAAAGATCCGTGACAAAAAAAGAATCTTTGGTGGAATTTTTCTTTCTGGCTTTTTATTGAGAGACACTCGATTTGCCATCAGCTGACCCTTGATGAGCGAGTGAAAAACAATCTTGATGCTGCAAAATACTTTGTTTATTGAGAACGCAGAGGAGGATTTAGAGCATTTCTTGAAGAGTGATAAACGCAAAAGGTAAGGTGTCATCTTAATATTAGAATGCGCTGCCTTTAATTGACTCCAACATAACCTCGGTATTTTTACTAATGTAGTTTTGTTAACATTTTATTTTTTTCATTGTTCCATTTTTATTATTCAGCAATATGATGTGTAGTAGTGTTTTCAAAATTTTCGTCAAATATTTTGAATTCAGTCTTAGAATATTTATTTACTATTTTTTAGAATGAGTCACTAAAAAACATTGATAAATCAAAATTTTATTATAAATTGAGTTCATTGGGGCGTTTTCGTAAATGTGACATGTTTATTTAATATAAAAAATGTAGATTTCAAAGTCGATTGAAGTTCAAACCCTACGGTTGAACATTTTGTAAGTGAATTTTGTTTCTAAACATTGATGAGCAATATATTGAAATAACATACCATGTAATTTAAGTAACATTAAACTCCATTTGCACTTTATACCACGGAAATGCGAAAACTTTACTAATGTTAAAAAAATAATGATATTTACATTGAAAAAATCGTTGTAAAAGAAAAAACAATTGTAATTTGAAGCAAACTAATCTAATCTTGAATGAAGCCTGTCAGCGCGTTCCATAAAGTATTCTTCGTACGATTGAGTACACATTTAACAAAGGTAATAACCGCGAAAAGAAAGAAACAAGACAGAGCTCAAAGAAGATCAAGCGTGAGGCGGACTCGTCGGGTGATTTAAATAACACGCGTGGCCTATGAAAACAAAAAAAAATACTCGCATCGGTATTGACGTATCCGCGTATCGTTGTGTGAGCGAAAGAGTCCATGACAGTGTGGCACGCGAGAAGATCGCGTCGAAAGAGAAAGTGCTGTTGTATGGCGATGTGTTATGTAAAAGTTTATAGTCGAGAATCTGCAGCAAGAGTAAGTACGTGCGCTATTGCATTCACCTTTGCTCGACGTACACACGTTAACAGGACATCCGCGCGCGCGACCGTATTTCTCTGTCGTTTGGCTCCATCATTAGGCCGTCAGCTCTGCCAGAAAACCCATTGTCCTTCGCGGCTTGCGCTAATTTCTTTTTTTGTTCGCTTGCATTGTTGCGTGACTCCGAGACACAAATTTCTTTGTGGAAGTTTTTTTTTGTTGCTCCCATTTCAACGGATGTCTTGAACAATCGTGTAAGTTCTCGTTTTACATTCAAATATTAAAAAATACGATCAATAGGACATGTTAATCTACATGTTAACATACATAAATCTACATACATGTAATTTTTGCTATTCTAGCTTTTTAAAGCACAATAAAAATATCACTTGCTTTCACATCTTTGCAGAGTGCTCATATTTCCGCCAGTCAACAATTACCGGCGGTTTCTCATCCACCAACTAGTGCAAGAACGCTACAGCGAATTACTGCAGACATTCTCTATTGGTCAAGGTTTTGCCAGAAGAACCGTTGTCTGTTATAAAACTGACTTTATTGGGTAAAATGAACTTTCTACTTGCGTCTCTTCTATTTTTTCACGCATGATTCTCATTCTTGAGTTGCTTTAAAAATTATTGCGTTTTTAAATACTCTTTCTATCATGTTATTTACACATCTAATGTTTGATATTTATTTAGACCGCCAAAAGTCAATGGTGAAATATCACAAACAAACGAGTTTGTCGGTAGATCTTTCGATAGGATGGGAATCGAAAGTCAATGCACTCCTACTGCATCACCGGAACACAGTAAGCCAAGGCAGAGTAAGTACATGGCGCAATCTTAATAGCGTTCGGCAAACCCTGGACTATCAATAAAACGAGAATGTTTTTCAGTGAAATCTACTCCTGCTTATGAAATCTATCGACCACCAGCGGCAAGGCGAGCTAGGCTTGAAAAATCGCCAGTTGAATGTTCCCCAAGCGAACAAACGAGTACAGATCCCACTACAAAGTAATATCTAATTATAATTTCTTTTATTTTCAACGTTTTTTCTTTTCTTCTTCACAAATGTGCTTACATTCTTTTACAGACCAAATCGCCAGAAACGTCCAGATCGTGCTGTTTACGTTCCAAGGCATAGACGTAGTGCTCCTGAAGTAGAAACTACTAATGTTCCTGTTAAAGATGCTCAATCTAAGATACCAAAGGAGACTGCAAGTTCTAATTCAAAGATGCGAAGCAATAGGACCAAGAGTAAGAGTCCACAAACGACGATTACTAATAATACAACCATTGAAAAAATAGAAGTCCAAGTAGTGGAAGCTCCAACTCATGTAAAGACTACAAATGAAATAAATATACAAACTGAAGGAACGGAAAGTACAAACTTGCTATTAGATATCAACAATTCTGAAAAAATTCAAGAACAGAGCGTTATCGCTGAAATGTCTGTGGAGATCGGTTCCCCAAATAAAAATGTAAAAGAAACCGCGAAATCTCGTGAAAAAGATGATAAGAATGAATCTGAAAATGTGCCTGCTTACTCCGAGGAATCTGACAAAAGAGACCGAAGAAAATCAATGGAAATTGATGAAGATAGTAATAATACTTCTGATACACTAACGCATACAAATATAAGTGACAATAATAAAAGTGAAGTGCAACAATCGACAACATCAAACTCACAAAATTCGAAAAGTGATAACAACAAACAAAATGATGGACTAGTGAAACAACCATTAGTTTCTAAGGTGTTGGTAATTTCGTCAGCTGAAGCAAAGCAAGAAAATCCTGATCCAGCACCATCGCTGACTCCAACGGTGGTTCCGATGACGCCACCAGAAAAAAAAGTGAAAAAAGTTGAGAGACCAAAGAGTAAACCTGCAGCTCCACCTGCACTTTCTGTGAAAATTGATCGCGATGAGTGTGATTGGGAAAGCTTGTTCGACGATAATGGTGACTGTCTTGATCCAACATTGATCGAAGAGGTAATGCTTGAAATTTATTTGTGACTAACACAATTTATAAAGACATGCTATACTTATTTTATGTATGAATCTGCTAATATACGAATTTCACTCAAAATGTTTTTATATTCATAGTAATATTTGTCCGAAACTTTTTGGTTTTATGATAGCAAAAATTAAATCAACTGTATTTATGCCGATTCTTTTTAGTTAAGCTCATCAGTGGGAGAGGTAGTTATAGAGAAACCGAAAAGCAATTTTAAGGCCTTTAGTCAGCCGATCGAAGTATCAAACGATGAATACGCACATATTGTTGAGATTTACAACTTCCCAACAGAATTTAAGTCAATTGATTTAGCTGCTGTATTTAGTCCTTGGAAAAGCGGTGGATTTGAACTAAAATGGGTCGATGATACGCATTGCCTTGGAGTTTTTAGCAGTCCCCTCGTTGGTTAGTATCATTTTAGTTATATATTGCATTTCAAATTCCAAAATAATATTTGGCATACATTACAGTACAAATTAAAAGTTAAAAGGTAAAATTTTACTTTCAGCTGCTGAAGTTTTAGCGTCAGAACATCCATTTGTAAAAACAAGACCACTGAGTGAAGCTAGTTCATTAAGCAAATCGAAAGTACGAAAAAGTTCGGAATTCCTTCAGCCTTATCGAACTCGACCGGAGACTTGCGCTGCTCTTGCGAGACGTTTAGTCACAAAATCGCTGGGAGTTACACTAGCAACTGCAAGACAAGAACGTGAACAAGAAAAGATAGTTTTACGAGAGGCAAAAGGTAACGAATAATTTAAAACTATTAAAATTATGTCATGTAACAATTGAGATCTATATTAAATACTACAAATATTTTATTTTTTAGAGAAAAGAAGACTTGCAAATAAACAACGAGAAGACGTTTGGGAGGGCATTATTGCAAATAAATCAAGTTCATAATTTTATTGATTTAAACAAAATCTTACTGCCGATCAGTGTATACTAACGTGCATTAAATCTGAATATGTGCCTTTTGCAAAAGGGCTCAGATATAATTAGGGACAAATTTTATTATTACTACTATTTTTGTTAAGAAATTTATTTGTAAACTATTATTACTAGTTAGATCATAGTAATACAAAACGATTGCTAATTAATTTTTTAATATATTTTGATATATTTAAAATGATTTTTAATGTGACAATTTATTTTGTACATTGAGTCATATCATTGAAACTGAATACGAATTTTTATCGTTAAAGAGATAAATAAGTAAATCACCAAGATAGAATAAGTTTTAACGTTACCCTTTTGCTTTGAATAATTTGTAAATATCAATAAAATAAAATTACGCACAATTTCACAAAAAAAATTCTTTAATGTTAGATGATTAAATTGAATAATTTTGTTGGGAATTTCATACTTTTCAATAATTATAACAGAAAAAATGTAGCAAAGTATTTTTGTACATGATTATCGTTAATAGTCCGAATAATTATACTCTGCAACACATGACCTAGTCATTAAAAAAAGTGTGTTACTTATATTTGACGTTGATAACTACGTTATGTATTCGAAGGAAATGTTTGTGATCGAAAAATCATTGAATAAAATATTTTATAAACAAATATGCCTGTATTTCGAAGATACATTTATCTTTCTCTGTAAAGATACACACGTATCTACAAAAATTGAAAAATTACAAATAATATAGTACAATAATTTTATCATAAAAACAAGCATATGGCAGTGATGATGATTTTTATACTTTAGAAATAGTTCATGTTTATGATGAGGATTATATTATATCACTTTTTATTACCATTTACCACCTTTTTTCTTCTTTTTCTGTTGCACTTTTCGTTGTTGCTGACGAGGTCCTGATGATTCCGCTGCAGGACTTTGACGAGGATTCGGAGAAGGCTTAGCGTTTGACATTTTGGTAATATCGCTAAAAGGAAAAATAAAGTTACATTTGATGTCTCAACTACTTTATAGATAATAATTTTGAAAATTATTCAACAATTTTGCGTTCATAACATTTTAACTAACATACTGAAAAATCCGAGCTTTTGTAAATTTCAGAGCAGTTATAACTTACAACTGGTCGGCGGCTCCAGTAGCAGCACCTTGAGTTCCTTTCATAGTAGCATCACGGTTTCTTCTGTCCCTCTTTTTCCTAAATCCACTACGCTCATGCTTAGGTAACCATCTTTCAGGATCTGGTCCAACAGTCGCATCATAATTTTTAGGTAATTTTCCCTTGCGCTTACGTTTCTTGCGCTTTTTATCCAATGCTTCTGGTTTTCTACAACAAATCAATAAAAAATTTGTTTTTTTACAACGTCATTTTTAGTAAAAACTGATGGACTTCTTATGTGCATTAATCAAAATTACCCAGGAGAAGGTTCAACTTTTTTTTTTACAACTTTCATTCCAATCACCCAGTTGCTGCTTTCTAAAGCATCTACTACATCTGTTGATTCTGTTAAATCTTTTAATGAAGGCAGTCTTTTAGACAGACTTTGTGCTTTTGCTGGATCGTATTGAGCATAAGCAACTATTAATTGAGCCAACGTTTTTGTATCAGACGGAGTTGCTGCTAAAAGCTCTTCTAAACTAGCTGCAGCAACAGCAACTTCTCCTCCTCTTAAATGGAAATCTGCGGCTTGACGCCACAACTTTCCAAGATTGCCAGTATTTTCCTTTATTAAAAAATATTAGTTATTTGATAGATACTTGCTAAATATTGACTTATTAAATAAAGGCATACCTTATTTTTTTTATAATAATTAACAGCGTTTTTAAGAACAGCAGAAGCCTTATCTCTGTTTCCACTGACCATATGCAAAGTAACAAGAGCACTAACTATTCCTGGTAATGATTTTGTGGTTTCATTAAGATTTTCTAGTACTTTGATAGCTTCTTCCTTTTCCTCATTGCTCAGCAATAATTGTACACATGCCAATTTTATTGGCAGATAATGTTCACCCTCAGCTTGTTTTTCAAGAAGTTTCACTGCTTCTTTAGCTTTGCCTTCTTTTGCTAACTGTACAGCTAATACAGTGGCAGCCTTCTTTGTAACTTCAGGATATTCTTTCATCAACTTTTTACATAGTGATTGACACTGTTCACTCTTAAAAATGCAATTACTTAATCACGTTATAATTCTTTCATAAATTACTGTAAACATCATAATTTATATATTCATACCTGATTTGTGTATAAAGCTAATAAACATTGATTGTAAGCAATACTTTTTCTTTGCCGAGATGTCAATTTATGCTCCAATCCATCTTGCGTAGCACTTTTCATTCTCTTTTTACTGTCAAATACATTCTGATCTTTATTCAATGTTGCAATATTATTATTTGCAACAGCAGCCAGAGCAATGTCATCAGGTCTTTTCTTGACAGCTGAGGCATATAATACTTGTGCTTCTTTTTCACGTCCTTGCAATTGTAAGCAATAGCCTAGCTGAACTTTTATGATACCAATTTCATCTTCAATTGCTTCTTCAGTCATCTCCTCTTCAAAAGAATCACGACACATTTTCTCAGCTGCACGCAATTTCTTTTCAGCTTTTAATAAATTAGCTTTGTCCTCACTATCAGATGCAATAATTAGACATGCTGAATTATACATCAATTCGTAAGTAACCTCCCTTAAAACTGGAACTTCTGTTTTCTGTAATTTGAATAAGCTTGCTTACTTGTGAATAATATGATCTATAGAACTATTAGTTACACAAAGTGGGCGTATTAAAAATAAGTTTTATTATTAATATATATTATATACAAAATAAATTATAATTCTTACTGATTTTTCTTGAGCCAAATGAACAAGAACTGCTGCTAGATTTGCTTCTCTTTCATCTTCATATTCATCTGTAGAGTTTTTAATTATATCACGATAAACAGCAAAGCAATCTTCATATCTTTCCAGTCGATAAAGAATTTGTGCTTTCAATTCTTTAATTTTCAATGATGGATTTGGTATACTATCGATAATCTTAAATGCATCGAGAACTTGATTCAAACGATAGAGACAATATGCCTTTTCAAATTCAAGTTTTCTGTAAAAATAATTAAATATTTGATGTCTTGAGTATTAGTAAAAACTATAATAATTGATTGAACTTACGTCAACAGTTTTGGATACTTATTAATGATTTGCAAGGCATCATTGAACTTGGATAACTGTATAAAACTAATAACTTTGCAGTGTAATGCAGATTCATCATCTTGTGAAAGTCCAAGAACTACAAACAAATAATAATATAAAATTTAATGAATTAAAATTGAGAATTGAAGAGAACATCTGTTAGAAATAATGAAATTGAAATTATTACTCTTATTAGCAGTTTTTACTGCACTTTCATATTGCCCATTTTGGCCTTGCCGGTATAGTTCACCGAAAAGACTGTAAAGACTGTCTTTTCCAGCCATTATGATTAATAATGATTACGCTTTGAATAACTGAAGAACCATTGATAGAACAACTGCTTCGTTGGAAATTACAGATGTTGACTCAATGCTTCAATGAACAGTATCAGGATCAAGACATTCAAGACTATCATGTAAGATATATAGTGCCTACATCACGGATTGATCAATCGGTAAAATTCACGCGAATCACTACTTTATCAACAGCAGTTGATTAACCTATTTATTTGAGTACCTGCCGCTATCGGTTAAAAGTAGATCATTTTCGAAGCATATTTCCTTGCAAAAAACAATCGCATGAAAATGAAACGTATAAGGTACAACATATAGCTTTGAAGCTTGAGATCTTGGTGCATTGGTTGACTCGTCAGCGGTGCGTTAGATAATCTCATGGCAGCTATGATCGGGCATAGAGTATATGTTTTTACTTTCCAAAGAATCAGATGGTCGTTTCGTAAGTGGCAGTGGTGCCAATCTCGTCGAATCCAGGAGTTGCTTTAAAGCAAAAGTTACTCTATCAAAAAGTTGACTTCTACTCAACATCTTTCGATATTGAGATTTAAATAAATAACGTAATTCTGGAAAAAGTGGGTAATCGGCAGCTTCGAAGAACTTAACGTATAGTGGCGCTGAAATTCAGACATTTGACTTGGATTACACACTACCACGCTTGACGCTGGTCTTCGATAACATATCTTGCAGGGTTATACTATTTGCAATCATCACGTAATATGTCATTTCCAGCTTCAGTTCTATTTGATTTTGAAAAAGTGTTAATTTATCTTGCGAAAGCTCATAGCAGTGCGCCACCGTAGAGTTACGGGGATGAAACTCGAAGCCACATTGCTTCATTGCTATGATAGTTTTGGTTAAGCGGTTCAATCCTATTTGTTCCCATGAACTATCATAATCATAAAACACGTTAAAGGGAAGCTTATTATTAAAGTCGGTAATGTTTATGTTTGCTCCCAGAAGGATCAACCCACCAATGGTTGCCTCGTTAAGGAATCGTGCCGCTAAATGAAGAGCTGTTTTACCTACGACTGTAACATTTCCCTTAATCTTATGTGAATTTGTGAAGAAAATGTTATTTCCGGAAATATTCTTTCTACTTTACCTGTGTGATCTTGAGCATCGATATCATTACACATTTTTTCGAATTTGTCAATATAATATGCGTATTGGGCATCTGAAATTGCTGACTTGTACATAATTTGAGACGAAGCTATGTATGACAGTTCGTCCTATTCGATCAACGATTGATAAATCTGAGCTGCCCATTATCGCTTCTAAAAGAATTTTTCGTGTTTCAACAATGTCTTCTTTTTCAAAAAGCTTTGACATGAGGCCGACTCTATTTAGAAAGTTGAAGGTGTTAAACGAAGCGCGATATTTAATGAAAAGCTGGAGTTGTCTTATTTAAGGTTATCGTTAACATCGAACAGTACTGCCTAAGCCGAGTTGCCTTGCAAATTTGAATAGTTGATATGGGCTCCAGCACTATAACAAGTCGAGTCGTAGCTTTTAATCCACATTCATAAATATTCCCTTGCAATATACTTGTTCGATATGACGCATGATATTGTATTATTTGAAGGGTTAATTATTTCAAGGGCTAAAGTTATTAATGAAAAAATTAGTGAGCGTTGTACGTACTCTAGTAAGGCTTTAAAGTAATGCTCGCGCGGAGTCTACCGTAGAGATACGCCGGTAAATGAGTGAGGTAATTCATTGGCGTTATACCTTCAGCATCAACCAACAGGACATAAGCCCTATAATTTACTAACAGAATATGTACGAGTACCATACCAAGATCCCTTTTTTGTGTTGCAATATGAAGAGCCACTTATCAATTTGAAAGTCGATCATACGTCCATCGTGTCTATCAATTTAAAATGTAATGTGTTGCCTTTATAAGCAATGTTGACTTTAATGGATGGGGACTGCAGTGAAACTTGTGCAGAATTTACGTAGAATTTAATACACGCAATGTGCAGGTGAGACAGACCATGGAAATCAATAGCATCTACTTATACAAGTTGGCGTTGAAAGAATATATCGATGATTTTGTTCTTCCGTTGATAAAATACCAAGTGGAGAGATGTGCGTCCATTCTCGTCTTGCAACATTGTCAATTTACCGTGTTCGAGATACTTACTTGGGGTTACTTCGGGACAAAAAGTATCATTTTCTAAATCAGGCATGGAGAACTGCACTGCCAGGTGGAACAAGCCATAACCAGGCCAGATCAAACTGTTACTCGGCAGATGCGATTTAATTTACAGATAGTTAATACCCCAAGACGCGTGTCTTCGGGTATTGATTATCTGTAAATTAAAAAATACTGAATCGAGTCTTGCCTTCGGAAAAAGGAAAGATAATTTGAAAATGAAGATTACTTCTTAAGTTCGAATTCATCAGTTCGTATGTTGATTGTATATAGAAACGTTACAAAAAAATTACTTTTTGAAAGTACCAACTCTATTGTGAAGACTGTGGTTCATGTTTTCGAGTCGTGTACTAGGTTTCGTTACTGTAATATCTACACCTTTTTGCAGTAGGATCTCAACGGCTTGAACATATTTTTGAATATTTTAAATTTCAATCAATTTGAGCAATATTATTAATTAAAATGTGAATTTCACACGCAGGCGGTACGATATTTTGACTATTAAAAAGTATATTATATAACATTATTCAATATTCCTAGAAAATATAGAGGAGGTTTGGGTGAGAGAGAGAGAGAGAGACCAGGTGTACTCACGCGTACTGCAAACAAGATTCACAGACTTGTAATTTGGGGTGTTAACTGTCGATACAAATAACTGGTATCGGCTAAATACAAAAGATCCGTACAGTACGTATGAGATGTTGACACTGTTTACAAAATTGAATGTACGTGGCTCTATCTGTCTTCTTCATTAACTTTCTTTCTTCCTCGACATGTCTTCTTATACAATGCCGAAATTTAAAGATTTAATAATTCCATATCATTCTATCGGCATAAGAACTTCATTGTGATTTGCTAATGTTTACCAATAGTACAGTATATGGATCCAACTAATTTATTTGTAATTAACTTACAGTTGTGAATGGTATACCAAAATTTCATTTAACGAAATATTCAACTTTAAGCAAATGCAATGTTTGTAAGCTTTTTACTACCAAGTATCTGGTGATAATCGATTAAAATATGCAAGTCAAGAGATTAGTTTGCCTTCCATCTTTAAAAGACTATTGGAATTATTTAGTTACTAAATGATTAAAAATAGTGTTTTGAGAGATTTATTCCAACCTCTTTCACTTTGCACTTAGTGATAATGAAGATATTAATAAAATGGAAAGACAAACACGATGGACTGATCTCAACAAAAAAGAATCGTGATTGCAATTTAATTAAGACAAACAAAATCGCAAGTGATAGATATGCAGTACGAAAGAAACTTCAATTTGTCCTTCATTCCAACGTTATTCAAAATAAGTATACCTTTCAATCAATCTTCAATTTATTACAGTTAATTGATAAAAGGAGTTTTCAATACTTGGTTATTGTCTAAAAAATTTAACATTTAAAGACAATTAGCAGAATTTTGAGAGGAGCTAGTAATGGAATTAATTGAAATTCCTGTAAAAGCAGAGATATTCCTCAGGCTCTTTAATTGCACGCTTCGGATAAGTAACATTTGAAAAAGATGTAAGAGATGCATAATGTGTGCACAAAAAGTGGTATGCATTGTGAAGTCGCTACTGCATGCGAAAACAAAAATCTATTCTGTCTGTTATCAATGTAATAAACAACTACATTATTGCTTAAATCGCTTTAACATATTCAATAGATAAATTTAAAATTTAAAAGTGTAATAATTATTATAAATAACAATTAATGGTAAATACTTAAATGAATTTATAATAACCTTTTCAATTACAGTTTTGGTTTGAAATATCGAAATGGACACCTTACAGCGGCTATAGGTATATCATCTTCTAATCATTAATTCTAGTTTATTTGATAAATTATAATATAAACTATAAAATAAAACAAATAATAAAAATGTACAGAATAGCTTTACCAGCGGACACATAAATGATTAAATTTCTTGCAAAATCATTCAAAGTATAATTAAGGGGAAATTTCATTGAATTTACTTGCGGAATTTCGAGTATCAATATTGAAACCGATTGTTTTTTTAACTATTCTGTATAATCAACGTATTTGATGGTTGAGATTATTGAATCTTAACCTGCAACCATATTAAAAATTAAAGTTCATCCCAATAATAAATAAACTAGAATTTTCCACTGTTTTTGAATATATATCGATAATGTGCTTATCTTATGGAAAACGTTGAAGCTGTTGAAAATATTATGACTACCTAACAATAAAATCTATTCTCCACTTTTAATGGTACCATGCGGATATAAAAATATTTCTAATACTGTGTCAGCATGCATATTTGTGCAGTTGACGTTTGCTTCAGCTTTGTAAAAAGTGTCATAATACCGTACATTTAAATACAATAAAATATCCAAACATATTATCAATCGAAATGCTCAGATTTGTAGATATCATGACTAGTAAAGGCAAGTTCTGTTACATTCATTACTAGTTTATAGAAGAAATACTTACGTTAGTACAAGCGAGAAGTTTAAAGAATTGAACAGACCTCTTTCATCTTTAACATTAAGTCTGCTTCATGTTTTAATGATACATCCATGGTCTTCAACTGTGATTCGGCATCTATTGTCATACAGAAGTTTTCTGGCTACAATGTAAGGTTTAGTGATCTTTGGAAAGTTACTGATTTACAAATGATTCTTAAATTTCAACAGTGGTGTAATCAGCCAGTACATATAAACTAAACGAATGTAAGAAAATTTTTCTTTATTAATTTCATTGACATTGAAGTAAGTTTGATATTCCGATAGAAAATGCAAAAGAGAAATTTGGAACTGATAAAATGTATTATTAAATATTGTTCTAATTTATCATTATTTATATAAATATCTTTACATACCTACATTATGTAGTACTATTTTCGCTTTTTATTAATTTTTCATCCGGCATACTTTTATTAAATTACTCATTTCCTGAGAAGAACTTATTATAGCAA